CTAAAACCAGAGCAGGTCTCTTTAAACATGACTCATGCCTTGATAACCAGCAGTCACTCATGACCGGCCTCATCTCACTTGTTACCCACGTGCCCTGTGTTCCTGCTAGTCCTATCAGCAGAAATGACAACCTATTATTAGGATGGTTCTTTTTCAGGATAACTTATCCACACTTTTGTAATCCAGGGGCAGGTTCCTTGCTGCCAGATGCACACAGGCATCTGACAAGCTTTATGCATTATGTCAGCATTGTACAAATGCCAGCAATTCCTGAGCCAGGATGAAGAGCCACGGTCTTAACTGGCACAATAACCTCTCAAAAGGTGATTTCAGCCTATCTACTGGAAGATGTTCCTGCTTATTCCAGGGCTGGATGAGGTGACCTTTAAAGGTCCCTTCCAGCCCAAACTGTGAGAATTCCTCACAGGCACTGGACTCAGGCCCTCCTGGGATCCAGACTGACTGGGATCAGTGGATCCACAGTGGGATCCACAGCAGGATGTGCTCAGGGCTGTCAGCTCTCAGACACGGGGGGGGACTGTGCAGCCTGTTGCAAACGAGGTACCAGTCACACTCCCAGGGCACAACCACCTTTAATGTTCCAACCACTGGAAGGCACAGAGTCCTTCACTTGCACTGTGTGCAATTACCTCACTTTAAAAGCTCTGCTTCCTAAACCCCACCCAGGCAAGCAGGTGCTTTATCCCGGTGGTCCTGGTACCGGGAGAAGGCGCTTCAGCCGATCACGGCCACTCGTCCCCTCTTTTCTCAAGCAATACCCGAGCAGCCGGCGAGCCTAGGCAGGGGTCTGTCCCTCGGACCTGCGGACCTTCCCCCCAGTTCTCCCACCCGGGAGCACAGAGGCGCTTGTGCCCCGAGTGCCCGGCGGGGCCGGCCGAGCTCTGACAGCCCCCGCGGCAAGCGGGGCCGGGCGGACCGCGCCCTTCGCCCGCTCCCTCCCCGCAGCCGGCACCCACCCCCGGCGGGCACCTCCGCCCGCTGACAGCCCGCAGGGCGCTGCCAGGCGGCACCGCCACCTCTGGCCCCGTCCCGTCCCACACCCTTCGCCCGCTCCCTCCGAGCAGCCACGGACCGGGGCTGCCCCGGGACAATCCTCCGGGGATGAACATCCTCCCGGCGGTGACGGGCTGTCCCGGGACAAACGCCATCATCTCCCCCCGTGCCCCCTGTCCCCGCTCACCACCACGGCGGTGACGGGCTGTCCCGGGACAAACGCCATCATCTCCCCCCGTGCCCCCTGTCCCCGCTCACCACCACGGCGGTGACGGGCTGTCCCGGGACAAACGCCATCTCTCTCTCTCTCTCCCCTCTCTCTCTCTTTCCCTTCACGTCGCCGCCCGAACAAAAGCGCCTCGCCCGGCCCCGCCCCCTTCCCTCCTCCAGCCAATCGGGTGCCGCCCCGCCCGCGGCGCGCCCCGCGCGCGTCCGCGTCCCGTGGGCCCCCGCGCCAAGATGGCGGGCGGGCGGTGTGGGCGGTGCGGTAGGTGCGGGTCGGGCCCGGCGGGGCCCGCGGGGCGGGAGGTTCGGCCCGGCCCGGTCCGGCCTGGCCCAGCGGGGCGGGAGGTGGCGGTGGGGCCCGGTGACGGGCGCTGTGTGCTGTCCCTTGGCAGGGTGCGAGGCGTGACGGAGCGGCGGTCCCGCGGAGCTGCGCGCCGCCGTGGATGAGAGGTACCGGGGGGCGGGAGGGCCGCTGAGGGGCCGGCTCGCTGAGGGCGGGCTCGGGGCTCGCACAGCCCCGCCGGGCTCGTCCAGCCTTGTCTGTGCTTCACCGCAGTGCCACCCCGGGAGGTCGCCGCGGGGGAACCATGGCCGGCGTGGTGGCCAAGCGCGAGGGGCCGCAGTTCATCAGCGAGGCGGCCGTGCGGGGCAACGCGGCCATCCTGGACTATTGCCGCACCTCCGTGTCCGCCCTGTCGGGCGCCACCGCCGGCATCCTGGGCCTCACCGGCCTGCACGGCTTCATCTTCTACTTCCTGGCCTCCGTCCTGCTCTCCGTGCTGCTGGTGCTGAAGGCCGGGCGCCGGTGGAACAAGTACTTCAAGTCGCGGCGGCCGCTCTTCACGGGGGGGCTCGTGGGGGGGCTCTTCACCTACGTCCTGTTCTGGACTTTCCTCTACGGGATGGTCCACGTGTACTGAGCGGGGCACGAGGACTGTTGCCAAAAGTCACTACACGATAGGCCGGCTCACCTTCCAGGCTCTTTTCCATGGCTCGTGTCGTTAATGCTGTCGGTAAATTATGTCCAAATTAATCAGTAGCACTGTTCTAATTAAAACTGAATGTGAAGCACCACTTGGGCGCCTCCTGTGAGTGTTTGTTTGCTGGCTAAGTGATAATTTCTGTCCCTAAATGCAGACACAGACATGGGTTTGGTTATTGTAATCCCTTGTATCATTTTTTGGGGGTAAGATGCACTAGTTACAGTCCCCTCTGGATTTGCTGCCTGCCCCTACACACAAATGCTTCTGGAGCAGTGTGTAACAGCTCTGCAATAATCCACTGACACAAGGAAATCACGTAATAAGGTGTAAGTAAAGGTTTGGTACAGAAATGTATTTGAGCTGCTAGTGCAAATGTTCTCTCCCACAATTGCTGTCTGTACATGTAACCACAAATGACACTGGCTACCAGAAAAGTCACTAAATGGTGCTCTCACAAGTCAAACACTTCACTCATTTTCAGTGCTGCTCTGTGAAATGATCCACAGACAACCAACACCCCTGCTGGCACGTTCTGTAAGTGATCAGTGCAGTGTTGTGGTTCCAGAGAGGACAATTCAGCCACCATACAGGTAATACCTTCCCTCTGGCGCTGCCCCTGCTCAATTGACTTTCTTACATCAGTGTGTCACCAAGAGCAGGTGATGTGTGAAACCTGATACAGCCTGTGCAGAACAGTCTTGGGGAGCACTGCCCTGAAGGGACACATTTTAGTGCTGTACATTCAATACAATGAGAAAAAAAACCAAATAAAATTCAAGAAACAAGCTCCTGAGAAGGAATCTGGTTATTTTTTATTAACAGCAAGGGTTGTTGGGAATTGTGTTAAACAGTATAAAGAAGGGAAACGTTCTAGGGAATTTTGGAGGCCTCAAGACTTTAAATTCAGGAAATAGCTTTGGTCCTCTGAAAAGAGGAGGTTGTTTTGTCGAGTTAAAACAGTGGTTTCAGCAGAGCACAGTCAGCTTTGTGTGGTGTGATGAGCAACTTGGTCTCCACGGGTTGTGCCTGGGCTTGATGCCACATGTGGGGTTCACCGTGTATTTCACCATCTAAAAATGACTCAACTGGAATTAACCCCTGACAGTCAAAAGGCCGGGCTGTTGTAACTCTGAAAGGCCTGACTAGTGCAGTTACACACGTGATGAGTGGTGTTTGCCTGGAGAAGAGGTTTTGGATGAGGTCAGAGGCACACAGCTTATCCTAAATTACCTCCACTGTTCTATTTCCTAGCTACATTTTTGACTCAATGCACAGAAGCAGAGGGAGTGAACTAGACTGGGTGGGGTTGCTATCAATGACTGGATTCAGAGTTTGACACTGCTAACAGAGGTGAATTTTAATTTAGAATCAACCTGTACCTCAGAACAACCACTTCAAAGAAGTTGCAGCAGAGGTAGGTACAGCTGCTGGTGCTGTTTGTGCAGACACTCAGTGGCAGCAGCTCCCTTAAGGCCACCTTCCCTCTGTCCAGAAATGTGTAGGGACACTGCAGCAGGAGCCCTTTAAATCTTGGTATTCAGAGAGTGCACAGAAACATTCCATCAGTTATCACAAGGACTCCCAGTAAGTGGTGACTGTCAGCACTTCAGAACTCTGCTCGGCCTGTGCCGAGCCATGCTGTGCAAGCTCTAAATGAGGCAGAAATATTGATTTACTGCTGTCTTCAGGAGCTGGTGAGTCAGTTCCTGTCAGCTCAAGAACATGCAAACTTTAAACAATGATGCTCTATAAGCCCTTTTCTGAAATTAGTTACATCTCCACATGAGCATAAACTGACAAAATGGGCTGCAGTGAGACCGATTTCTCTACCGAGAAACAAAGAAGCACTTGTATTTCCTGGAAGTTACCAATGTTGAAGTAGCACAGATGTCTTTAAATTTTCCTGCTGTTGGTGTATTTGGGGGAGCCTGGCAAGGCTCCCCTTTTCCATCTGCAGTGCAGTTCAGGGTACTGTGAGAAACACAGAAGCTTTAAGTGCCCCGTCCAGACCTCCCCAGCACGAGCAGGAAGGACAATACAGAGCAAGTGAAACCAGGCACTGAGCAAAGGAGGCAGAACCTAAAAGCACCCCTGTGCAGGTGCTCCCAGGGCTGTGTTGCTTTTCAGTGCATTAACCCCCATCTCTCTCACTGGGACCCCCAAAACTGTCTGTCCCTGCCTTGCTGCAGAGCCCTGCAGGCTCTGAAATGTTGGTTTTCTGAGCCAGCTGGGGGCAGGGATGGGGCAGCAGGTGAGGCAGCTGAGCCCCAGCCAGGGTTCTCTGGGCAGGACCTGCTCCTGCTGCTCCTGAGACGAGCAGAGCACCTTGGGAAGGCTTTTCCGGGAGAAGCACCATTTCCACATCCTAATAGTTACACACCCCCACGGGAGCGACTGCCCCACCCTGCCACAGGCCCTGCAGGACAACAGCCCCTTCCCCAGCTCCGAGAGCCGCTCAAATTCCACACTTCCCTGCAGGAGACAGGTCGGAGCTCAGCCTCAGCCCTTCTCAAAGTGCCACTGGTGGTTCCCATCACGGCTCTTCCACGCGTGGAATCAAAGCACAGCCACGGGACAACGCTGGCTACGGGCGTGGGTACGGATACATCTACCAGTGGATATAAAAACATTCATTTGGTGCCTTCTTTGTCCTTTTATAAAATCCTTTTATAAATCCAGAGTGGCGGCACACTGTTGCAAGCTCGGGATACCAGGGAAATCTCAGGGAAGAAGGGCAGTCTTTATAGGACACTTTTTTTTTCCTCTGGGAATCCTGGTAATAGGCAGTATCCCTGATCTCCACCTCCTGGTGCTGGTGTGGTTTCACACCTGTGTGGTTTTCCTGGAGCACAAGTCCAGCTGGCAGAGCCATCGCTGTGCTCAGAGCCCGCCCAGCTGGTCCGGGCTCTGATTCCCGTTGGGTGTAGGACTCGACAACGACTTCCTGGAATTGGACCTGAGGAAACAAGCACAGGTGACAGACAGGGCAAGCAGGCTGGTCTTATTTCAGGAAGCGACATGGGTAAGAGGTTCCCAGCCAAGCCAGTCCCACCTTACCCTAGAGACCCCTCTGTACAGCTAAACCCCCAGATTTCTGTTTCATGAGGCTTTTGGAGCTGCCCCAATTTCACTCTCGGTCATTGGGGATCAACAGTACAAGATCATTGACAGTCCAGCCCTGACACAGCAGCTGCCTTTGCTCCCCAGCTCACTGCAGCAATGAATTACAGAGGGAGCCAGAAACTTGGCTAAACTCATTGGGAGGAATATATTTCCCTGGCATTGGCCTTTGTTTGCCATTGACAGTTACTGTGCTCCTGTATCTCCTCCTATTTCTATTACTCATAACAACAAGCCATGACACAACACAAAGTCAAGCTCACTTACTTCACTTCCTCATACTTTTTGCCTCGATAAAAATTACTCTTCTTAATCAGATACAGCAACACCAGGTCACAAAAGAAGGCTCCCTGCAAAGAGAAAGAACTTGTGTTTTCTCTTTGGAATAGAAGAGGAAGTGTTCTGATCTCGTTAGCAATGAGCATGAATTAAAGAATCACTTGTAGAAGCTGTGTTTTCATTCATTCTCCAAGCATTTTATGGGGTATATATGTTATATATCTCCCCCTTACAGCTACAGGAGGGGTCTGGGTCCCAATGTGATAGTTTAAGGGAAAACATTCACTTACCGCTCCCATGAGCGCCAGCCCCGAACTGACATTGATAATGGTGGGAATGATGTTAAATTTCCCTGCCTGGAAGAAGAAAAGTCATGAAGCAATCGGTGAGAGAACAGCCCACAGAACAAACTGAAGGGTGTGGTACTGCACAGGGGAAGCTGCTGCTGCCTGTGGGTGTGTTTTGTTCCCATGGAGCAGACACAACCGTGGCAGATCCGCAGTGAACAATCTTGGAGGCTGAAGGTCTGTGTGTGTCTCAGATCCAACTGCCCCTGGCTGCAGTTCTGAGCTTGCATCATCCCTGAATTAGGCTTCTCTGTTTTTTTCTGCAGTGCATATGCATAGAAAATAAGTCTCTGGGGTGTTTTTACTTCTGTCAGGCTTTACATGAGCCTGGTTTTAGGTAGAGGAGGTGCAGGCTCAGCTGCACTCCAGGTCATCTCCCTAACGCAGGGTTAGCTCCACATGATCGGATGGGAAGAGCCCTTTCCTGTGACAAGCCAGAGAGGCTTCCCTCATCCTAGAGCTGCCTTCCCACTGAGAAGTGTCCCCTGGAGATAAATTTCTCTGGAATATTCTGGCCTGGGACCTCACCTTGCCATTGACCATCACATCGAAGCGGATTCCGTAGGCTTTAATGAGCGTCCGGTAGTCAACCCCCTCAGCATCCCGGTAATATTTGGCAAACCTGGAACACAACAATGCTGGTTTTAACTCCATCTGCCCCTCTGAACTCACTCTTCAAACAGATCTGTTCCCCTGGCAGCTTTAGCCTGCCAGGAGCACAACTCCCTCCCTCCCTCCCCTGCAGCTTGGCTGGGGCAGTGCCTGGCACAGGCTGGTGCCACTCCACTGCCAGCCTCCAACTCCTGCAAGTCAAACCAGCCCAGCCCAACTGCAGTGCTGATTGTGGCCTCCTCTTTACCCACCTGAAGTTGTACCCAGAAGAGATGGACGTTTCTGCAGACTTGTTATCCAGCCGGCTAAAAGAATAGTGAGGATTACATTCAGAAGGGGCTTTATCAAGATCACAGTTCCACTCAATCTGAATTCCTATCACACCACCCTTAACAAAAGAGAGAGACAGGGTGAGTTGTTTAAAGCTTAGTTCAGTTAAAGTGTCTTCAAATTTCTCAGGCCCTTGGGCGAGTTTTCCCCAGGGCCAAGAATCTGCATTTCTGGTCCCAGACATGGGCACACACTCCCCTGGATGGGCCCAGTTCAGGTGGGATATTAATCCCATTCATCTACACACAATCCCAGCCTCCCCTGTGCTCCTTTCTGAGGAGCTTTCTCCCAGGACACTGATTCCACTAATTTAAGTGGCTGTAACACACTTCACTTGAGAAGATTCTTTTATGCAGGAACCCTGAAGTTCTGGGTTTAAACCAATGGTGCAGTAATGTTGAAATTAAACACAAAATCCCTGCTGGCAGAGGTTTGGGCAGAATAACAGATAACTGACCCGACCAGCTCTTCCAGAGGACCCACATCACCCTGCCTCCCATTCCCTGGGGACGGGACAAACGGGACCAGCTTGACTTCAAGCACTGGCAACCCTCCAGTGCAGCCTGGACAGGAGGCAGCTCCCTGGGCAGCAGAAAGGACAGTGACTGCCCTCACGGCCACTCAGCACACAGAACAACCAGCTGGAAAGACAAGTGAGCCCAGGGGACACTCCTACCCCCAAGGCCATTTCCTGGAAGTTGCCCCCAGCCCAGCGGACGATGTTCCCCAGCACGAAGATGGGGCAGTAGGGATGCTCGGCACTGTAGCGGCAGGTCTTCAGGTAGGACTCGTTGTCAGTTGCCAGCACATTCATCCTGCACGTGGGGAAGAGGGAAATCCGCCCTGTGTCCCTCTTTCCTTGTCTCCACAGCCTGCACCAAGGCTGCAGAGACAAGAGATTTTCCCAAAGCCCCAGAAATGGCCCCGTGCCACCAGCCCCACCAACCTGCTGCTGGCCCAGGGAAAGCAGCCTGCCCATCCCCCTCCCCCCCCAAAATGACCTCCAGGACAGACAGGGACTTGGCCACCTGAATCTGGGCTCAAGAAAGGGCTGGCATGGAGCAGGTTGCCAAACTGCTCCAGGGCCACCTGGTTTTCTCAAGGCAAACCAATAAGGATGCTAAAAATGCCTATCTGAGCCCAGGAGAATAACCAGAACACACTCCTTTCTACACTGCAAACTAAACTTTGTTTGTTCATATTGCAGCAGCAAATGCAAACAACTATTTTAAATCTGCATTTTTCCCAGCCTTGTCCAGGCACCTTTGTTTTCATGGAAGAGGAGGAATATCTGTTGAGCAGAAGCAGCTCAGGACTATGCACTGGTTGGCAGAGATCCATCTGCCTTAGGAGTTCTGCTGCATCCCAAGCTGCAGGAACCACCAGACCTCATCCAGGGAAGGACAGCCTTCCTTCTCCCAATTGCTCTCTGAGAAGCTCCAAGCCCTCATTATCTCCTTGTTTCTGCGCAGCCTGAAGCCAAAGCAGAGGGAACACCCACCTCCCCAGCCCACCCCTCCAGCAGGAGAAGGACAGTGGAGCAAACAGAGGTTATTGGTTCCCTGGTGGAGAGGACAGAGGGATCTCCAGGCACCTGCACTTACTTGGAGAACTTAAACTTGGGGAAGCGAATTGAGTTCTTGATGTAAACAGTGAAGTTTTCTGCACTGCCAAGAAGGGGTTTCCTGGAAAAGAAGGGTTTGTTCTCTGTCTTACATTTGTGCCCTGCCCACGTGCTAAATCTTGAATTGCCATTTTAGAAACAGCCTCATCCAACAGGTTGGATGGCACCGGGTCAGCTGTGCCACCTTCCCCCACGCTGCCAGCAGGGAGTTGATGAGGAGGGTGCAGATTGAAGGGACACCCCGAGAGCTGGGAACAGCCCTGGGACGGCCAGTGAGCTAAGCAGGGGGAGCAGAGGGCCAGTCCTGCCAGGGGGGCCTTGCAGAGCTCCCTCCTGCACTGAACAACCAACATCCAGCAAGCAGCCAAGCAGAGGAAACACAGAAACTGCCCTGAGTGACACGCAAGCCGAGCAACTCAAGCTTGGAAACGGGATAGGACGGCCACGTACTTGGGCTTGGATCTTTTCTCCACTGGGCACCAGGCCAGTATCTCACAAGTCCCTCTGGTGCTGTCCCTGTCTTTCAAACAACGGCCAGTCTTAACCCCTGCGAGCAGACACACAGAAAAGGTCACGCAGAGCAATCACCTCCCCTCCTTGCCTACAGGGCACATGAAAATAGATGATTTTCTCCCTCCTCCCTGCTGTGAAAGGGCCTCTCAGCTGGAACAAACACTCTCTTGTTGGTTTTCTGAGCAGCCCAGGGTGCCCTGGCCCAGCCAGGGCAGAGCTGGAAGCGAGGCAGCAATCTCAGTAAGAGATGGTAAAGAAAAGAAAGGCTTTGCTGCTCCCTGTGACCAGAGATCTCTGGGAGTGTCACCAGGCTGAGGCCTCTGAGGGACACCAAACACAGTAGAGGAGGAAGGACCCTTCCCTTACCATTGCCAGCCACCACTGCTTGCCCTTCCAGGCAGTCCTCGTCCCTGTGGCACAGGGCATCGGGAATGCTGGCACTCTGCAAAGGGCAAGAGAATCACAGGATCAGAATCACGGAATCCTGAGGACAGAAGCGAGACCTGCAACAGGACACAGGGCTCAGGGGGTATGAAAGGGCTGCTGCTGTGGGGGGAATTCTCTATATTGAAACAGGGATTTTGTGACCATTTCTACACTTCAGCATCCCAAGTCCCTCCCTGACAGTCTTATTGTTACAAGGCACCAGCATCAATCTTTAGTCAAAGATAACCTAAATTTCTTCTACCTAACAATCCTTGAAATAGTTTCATATCTTATTTTTACAAGACATCAACATCAATCTTTAGTTGGAGATGACTTGATTTAATTTTGTCTATCTGAACAATCTTCTGTTGTTTTAGTTCTCTGGGGTATGCAGGTCACTGAACAGAGCTGCATGTTTTACTAATCTCTCAAATTCCTTCTTCCTATCGTTAACCAATGTTTAAGTAAGAACTACAGAGTTAAAAAGTTGAAGCTATTAAGTAAAATTCAAGCTAACATTGTTTACCCCCTTTTAATATGAACACTAAAAAGATGAAGCTGAAGTGGTAAGTGTGGGTCATGCCAACAGCTCGGCACATCACACCACCAGCAACACCAGGAATCAGCCACACGGTCCTGATTTCGGGTTCTGCTCGGGCTGGAGAGGGACAGACTGCAAACAAACCCCAGACATCACCTGGCACTCACCAAAACCAGGCTGGAGGCCACGGTGCTTCACCCTAAGAGGTAACCCTAGCTCGGATCTAAGCTGCAAGCTCTCCAGCCCAAAATCGCCTCTCTCCCGGCTACACGGAGGGTTCCTGCAGCCACTAGAGGACAGCCGCGTCCTCAGCAATCCAGCTGTGCTCCCTGCCCTGCCCGAGACGTGGAAAATCCATCAGTGCCGCAGGGAAAGGCGCTCCCAGCGCAGCCAGCGCCCTCCTCCCCCAGGCTCCAGCCCCTTCTCCACTGAGGACATTTCCACATGACACACAGACCTCACGCCTCTGGCCCACAGGGCACGTTCTGGAAGGTGCCAAGAACCCTCCTGTGTCTGGAAGGGAATGAAAGCCTGAGCGTTCAGCCCTTCCCAGGATGGGGCTCTCAGAGAGCCTCCTCTACCCTGAGAGTAACTGCACTGAGTCACCTCCAAGTCGTTTTCCCGTGGCCTTCTCTGACCCTGAGCAGTCACTGCCTGGCTTGGGCAGAAATCCAACACCTTCACCTCGGGTCAGGAAGGCTCTACATGATCAGTGCCCCTGGAAATTAAGACAGCTGAGCCTGCCAGGTTTGCAGTAACCAGTCTGATTCCCCAGCTGAGATATCCCACTACAGAGAAAAACCGTGCGCCTTCCATCCTTCCTCTGGTCGCTGCTCCCCTGATGTCCTCTGTGAGTTCTTACCCCTGCTTTTGTAGGGGTCTGGGGGCCAAGGGGCTCAGTTCTTCCTACCTCAGGACAGGTGGCTTGTCTCTGGTTTGGGGTCACGATCAGATTCGTCATGACAAAGAAGACGCTTTCACCCTAAAACAAACAGAGTAAAGCAGGAAGGGTTAGAAAACCTGATTTATTTTCGAAGCACTTGTTGCAAGGAGGATGCAGCTCTCAGCAGGAGAGCACAACCTCCCTCTCTTCAGAGGGTTTGCAGGCTGAGATACAACAGCACCCTTTGTCTGGATTTTAGTTTGGATGAGGTCCCTCCTGCTGTGGGTGCACCCACAGCCACAAGAGCCAGCCCACGGGCGTGGGGGGAGGCAGGGCAGCCCTGAGCACCTCCCAGTAAAACACCAGTTCACACATACTGGTCAGTGCCACCATTTCATCCCTGGGTGTGCACTCCAGTCACTTGCTCGGTGTCCCCACAGCTGGGACTGAGGCACCACAAGCAGCTGCCCGACCCTCCTGCTGCACAGCACGTGTTGGGCTGAGGCTTTGCACTCAAACTGGTGGAAGCAGAGAACACAGCCACAGGTCTGGGGGGAGTTTTTATTCTTATGTACAGGCAGTTAAATTGTTCATCTTACAGCTTTCTGTCCTGTCAGCACAGGACCCTGGTTTTCCCCTCACACCCTTCCATGTAGTGAAAGCACAACTGCCCCTGGCAAGCACAGCTGGGGGAATTCCAGCTGGTGTTGGGCCACATCTGCTGCCACCTCTCCCCTGTGCATCTCACGGTGTCCAAGCCAAGGAAGCAGCAGGGCAGGTTCAACCAGACACTTTTCCAGCAACCCTCATCACTCTTAATTGCACCACATTTTCTTTCCATCTCCCATGCCAACCTGTGGAGGGATGACGTAGTCTGCGACATCCCACAGCCTCTCCCCCAGCTCCGAGGTGTTGGTGAAGGCCACCCCTTTCAGCTTGGTGATGACAGAGCTCTGGAGAGATGTGTCTGTGTCCTGATAGCCTTTCTTGACAACAAACACCCACCTGTGTGAACACAGCAGGCAGCAGCGTTAGGGGGCGGTTCAGGCAACAAGTCAACCAGTAAAGATTCACACCAAGGTCAAAGACCATCCAAGAGCAAATCAAAGCAGGCCAGTGACACCAAACCCTCTGTAACTCCTGCCACAAATATAGAATAAACTCCTTGACACAAGCTGTGCTTATCCACAGCAGGGAAATGTGTAATAACTGGTCATGAGGTAAAAAACCAAAGCCTCCCACCTCCCTGTCCTGTGCTACACTCAGCAACCTCAGAAAAGGAGAGGGGGGGGGCAGGGCTCTGCCTTCTTGAAATGAGAAACAAAACAAGCTTTTTGCAGGTTGCAGTGAGGAGTGTGGATGGTTTCACATGAGCACAACTCTCCCACTTCACCTCCTTGTCAATGGGCTGCTGGTCAGCAACAATCCATGGCTGGGGAGATGCAACTCCTGCAGGTGAGCTGGATACTCCTAACCTGTAGGGAATATTCTCATCTGGATACAGGATGCTCTGTAAGCTGCTGTCATGGTAACAACCTGACTGCACACCTGGGAGAGCTGCTGCTGCCTGGCCAAGCAGCCCAAGGAAAGACTTTGCTTACTTCCCTCCACTGGAAGCAGCAAGAATTCCATTTCCCTGGGTGAAAACCTCTGGTTTAAATAAAATTCTTCCAGCTTCCCCACAGTACTGCCAAAATCACCTGCCAGGACAACAAATCACTCAGACCCTTGAAGAAGCTGAGGGTGCTGGGGCAGATTTGGGGAGAGGGACAGAGGTTGGATCTGCTGGCACAGCTCCCCTGGGCAGTGCACTGACCTGCAGGGCACTCAGGGAGAGAAAGGGCCATCCCAGCCTGAGCAGCACTGGCCACACTGCCCTTTACCTGCTACATGTGACAAACCTGGATAACAACACTCCCCACCCCTGCGAAGTTTCCTGCTTTCCCATTTTCCTCAGAACACCCATTTCCTCTCCCAGGAGGGCTCAAAAGCAGACCCTTATTTTCTGCAGAGAATGGTGGAAGAAATGGCAGCTGCAGGAAACAATCCAGAGGGGTTGGATGATCCCCACCCCAAGCCAGCCTTCGAACAGGTACATGTTCCTGAGCTGTAACCCCAGTCTGGGAGTCACTGCAGGGACCATCGGTGCCAAGGGTTTGCAGAAGGCAGGAGATGCCAAGGGAGAAAAATAGCCAGTCTCTGACCACTCACAGCCACTGGTCATGCTGGATCCCTCTTGGACAGAGGATGTGTCCTCAGCAATGTTATCCACAGGATTGCTCCTTTAGCAGCCGGTCCGTGCCAGACTGCTGAGACTTCACTCGTGCTCTGCTCACTGGAGCAGGCTCTGGGACTGCACAGCCTTCTAAAAATAAACCCAGCACGTAAAAATGACTCTGCTATATTTAATCAGTGAAAACACGAGGTGCAAGAAAGGTGAAGGGACTCAGGAGCACAAAGAGTGAGGGTACAGGCTTTAGGTATCACAATCTGAAAAGCCTCAGAAACTCAGGAAATGATAGCATCATATAGGTTGGATAATTCCAGGTCTGAGCCTGCAAGGACTATCACTGTGCCCATTACATGCCAGTGTGACCAGCCTCTTGCAGAACTGGGCCTTTCCTGAGTGCTGCTCCAGCTATTTCCACGCCAGCTCGCCCTGCTCTGAAATGAATGCGAGGCAGCGACATTCCCGCTGCCTCAGCCCCCACAGTCCCGGCTGCTGCAGCCCACTCCAGCAGAGAAATCTCCCACTTTCTGCTGGGTTCCCTCCCGTTTAGGCTTGAGCATGCCGTGCTGTCCTGCAGATAACCCAGGTGTATCCCGAGGCTCGGCACCATTGCCCTAAATGCTATTGTTCCTAACGAGTCAGGTGTTAAGCTTTGGCTCCATTCCCACCGCATACAGAAATAAAGATATAAATAATGCAGTGCAAAGCCCGAGTGGCACTGGGGCTATTTTTAACCAGACCTTCATCTGAAAGGTAGAGCCGAATCCAGTGATCCCTAGCGGGTGAAAAATCAGGTATAACCTACCAGACGTTACAAAACGCAGCTGTACCAACATGCCCAGCTATCTGCATCAAGATCGGGAGGCACAGCAGGCTGTCTCTGTGTGCAGAGCATCCCGCACCGCTCCTCAGCACAGCTCAGCAAGCAAAGGCACCCCCAGCAGCACGTGAAGCACAGGGCGATCCTTACCCCACCAGGTAAGCCAGCACGGAGAGCTGCACCACTCGGTAGAGGACCCCCACCTTCTTGTTCTTGGCAATGACGTACTTCTCGGTCTTGTAGTCGAAGAGCGACAGGAACAGAGCCTTCCAAGCCACCTGCCCCATGGCCCCGGCTCGCCGCGCTCCGCGGGAGCTGCTGGAGCAGCGGCGGCGCTCGGGGCTCTCGCTGCCCACACGTGCTCTGCCTGGAAACCCGACACACCAACCCCTCGCACCGATCTCCTCCCCTCCTGTCAGCTGCTCCACGGCAGCTCTCGGCTCCCAGACCAGCAGCTGCGCCAAGATCAGATCCTTCCTGAGCTGCTTTCCAGCTGATTCATCCCCTGGGAAACCCCCCTCCCCCCTGCCCGCATCTGTTTGGTCCCCTTCTGTCCCCCACAAAACGTTTAGAACGAAACATGTTATAGCATGAAGCAGCATTGCAGCACCCGAGGTGACACAGTTACAGTCTCTCACTGCTAAGGATTAAAGCCCTTCTCCAGCCTTTACAGGATGACAAATGTAACAGGGTTAAATTTTTAGTTTCTTAAACGTTCACACGAGCTGCGAGAGCTGGGGTCCTTGTCGGTCATCAAAAATATCTGCCTGGCTACTACAAAAAGCCACCAAACCCCCAGATTAAGGAATTAATAAATGAACTCTGCATGTGGTTAAGGAACAATCATCATAGACAATAATTTCTTAAAACTGGACCTGAGGAAATGAGCGCAGGTGACAGGCAGGGCAAGCAGGCTGGTTTTGTTTCAGGAAGCAACGTGGGCAAGAGGTTCCCAGCCAGGCCAGTCACACCTTTCCCCAAAGGCTGTCACTCTCTGACAGCTAAAGACCCAGCTCTCAGTTTTATGAGGCTTTGGAGCTTTTGGAGCTGCCCCCATTCCATTCTTGGTCATTAGGGACCAACAGCACAAGGTCATTGATGGTCCAACCATGACACAGCAGCTGCCTTTGCTCCCCTGCTCACTGCAGCAATGAATTAAAGAAGGAGCCAGAAACCTGGCTAAACTCATTTGGAGGAATATAATTTCCTGCAATTTACCTTTGTTTGCCATTAACAGTTACTGTGCTCCTGTATCTCCTTTTATTTCTATTAGTAATAACAATAAAGCCATCACTAGTACTGCCCATTGTAGTACTCCCCTGCCAAATTCTCTTCCCTGGGAGAATCATTCTCAAAATCTCAGGTTTTATGAAAATGTTGTCCTCCATCCTCCTGAAATTCCATGTCAAATCTAAACAGCTGGATCTGATTTTTAATGAACGTGTGTGACAAGGTTGCTCCAAATCACCAGAGAATCACAAAGAGTGTAATAAGGACCAAAACACTCATTTTGTACCTCATCCCAGAGCCATCCCTAGAGTTTCTCTGCAAAGTGAAAGAAGCCTTTCTCCAGCACCTGCAAAATTAGAGCACAAACCTCTGCCTGTGGCCTCCTTTTAACCCACTTCTGCCCACGGGGCTGGTCCCACAGGGACACCCTCTGCTTGCCCTGGCCCTGCTGGATCTGCTGCAGGGACAGCACTGAGGGGTGAGGGTGTCCCGTGGCTCAGGGCTGCCTCCACCATCACTCCTGCTGCACTGAGGACACACAAGCTCATGGACAAATGAAGTACCAGAGGAGACAATTCACCCCTCTTCTCCATCTCCATCTTCCTCATCGCTGTGGGCACTGCACAGACTGGAATCAGACCACGAGACCTGCCAGCAGTTAAACAGTGTGTTACCTTCTGGCCTGGTTTTACTCGGTGGCACAGACACAAGTCTGCTCTGAGCCTCTGTAATAATTTCCAGGTCAATTAATCTGAGAAAAGACTTACACACAGGTTAGAAAAAAATGTTCCTTAGAGCAAGAAGTGTTCTGCTCTAGGTGCGGACTCAAGATGTCAACCAGGTTTGATCACTAAAATAAAAAAAGAGGATGTAAAGCTGATACTTTCCTTGTTTCTTTTCAAACATCACCTAGGAGCACAGTTGCAAGAGCTGTTTTGGAACAAAAAAGTTTCAACTTGTATCAGATGTGCCTCAGAATATTCTGCACACTGCTCAGGACAAGCTAAATTTTTGCTGACAATGCTGTTGCTGAGCTGCAAAAACAACTGAGCTGGCACTTTTTTGAGTGCTCTTACGGATATTGTTCTCATCACCTGGTTTTCACAACCTTTTTTTTTTTTTTTCTTGCCTGAAAATCAATTCTACTGGTGTGTTTCTTGAAGTATCTGTAGGTGTTCAAACATAAGCAGTTTCATCTGCAGCAGGGGAGTAAATAACTGGTCCAAGTACCATCAGTGAGAGATTAAAAAAAATGGTAATTTCACTTAGTCCTTCTCAAGGGACTGAGGTTGGATCTTCCCCGCAAGATCTCTTCCTTTATGAGTCCCACACTTTAAATTTCCCATGGAAAAAACCCAAAGGTTCTGCTCAATTCCCATGAGTGGTGTTTTCCCAGCCCGGAAATTCTCACAGGGAGAATCACAGACAGGACTGAAACTGCCCCTTTCTCTATTTTTTTTATTCCTGACATGTTACACCTGTACTTAATTCCTCACAGTGCTCACAGCAATTGTCTTGTGTATCCTGTGAGTTCATGTGACTGATGACATCCCTGCCTGCCCAGATTGCTCCTCACCTGCCTTCCCTCCACCTGTCAGCAGCTCCTTGGTGTTAAGCTGCCCTGGAGCTGATCTCAGGCTCATGAGCCTGCAAATGACACATGAAGGGACTGTGGAAATTAAACTTTAAACCCCTGCCCTGATCCAGGGGCATTTGAAACACAGTAAGGTCACAGCAGTCTCTACAATAGCGGAGCACAGATAGATTTTAAGATCAGCCCAGTAATATCTTTAAAGCACCCCCAAAGGAGACCAGATGCTTTCCAGGCAGTGGCAGAGAGCCCTGGCTGCTGGAGGTGCCTGTTTTAGGCACTTTTCTTGTTCTCTTCCAGTGCTAAATGGTCACCCCCAGGCATCAGTTCTTGCCATGATTCCCACTCCGCCCTTCACTGACTGTCAAGTGCAACAGAAACCATCGGGGGCTGACTCAGAAACGCTGAGACATTCCTCCAGCACTGAAATGCTCCTGCAGCAAATGTTTGAGTGATGCAGGTCCATCATCCCTCAGAAACAGGCGCCAGACCAGCTACTGAAATAGCAGAGAGACGAGGAGGAGAGGATGTAAAACAAGCTATCTTGGCAAGGAAATGAACAGTGGGAAGGGCAGCTCTCTCCATTAGTGGTTTCTTCTCCTACTGTCATACTTGTAAGTCAACATCTACAAAAAACCGAGGTGAAGGGTTGAACAGGTTGAAAGAGGAAGCTGCTTTCAAACCACAGCTCATGCCCACGGAAACACATGGAAATCAGTACCATCGAGCATGAGCTGCTTTCTGAAAGTGACAGGTTTGGATGTAAAAAAAAAGAAATGTGTGTGCAGCCCACAGTGAAACACGCTCTGCTCAGCTCCTCTTGCAACCCTGGCTGTGACTTTGCAGGGTGAATCAGCCTCTGTGTTTGTCCTCCTCACTAGCACAGCTGCACACCCAGCCACGATGGAAAGGGAATTTGTGGAAAGAATCTGTCATTACCCACAGGAGAATCCTGAACTGTCTGTAGGAGTGAGAACTGGACCAGTTCTGACGTTCCAGAATACATTCTGTCTTTGATTCAGCTCTCCACTTCCAGGAGAGCCATCTACAGCCTTTGAACGCATCCCAAGTTATTCCCCAAGTCTTGAATCTCCTCTACAGCGTGTAGGAGTGTCGTTATTATGAGCTGGAACATTCATCCACTCCTCTCCCCCAGCCCAAGAAGTGAAAGTGCTTGAGGGAAGAGGAACAGAGAGGAAGGAAAAATACTGCACACCTAATGAAGCCAAGCCATCATGCCCCGTTCTGTGAGAGTGCTGGCACTGAATCAGGTAACAGGAATTAAAGAAAAGTGCCCATAAAACACTGCTCAGAGGCTGAGTGCAGTGACAGCAGAGTTGTGCAGGGCTGTGCTGCAATGAGTTCACCTTGTGAAGTCAGCCAATAAAAGCATCACTGGGAAATAAGGGAATGTTGTTTCAAAGCCTGGAAGTTGCATGTGTTTAATAAAATGTGTATTCACCTTAACCACTGATTTAAAGGTGAATATACCTGACAGATCAGTATTTGCTTCTTTGTCAACACGTGTCATTCCTGACCTGGAAAGACAAGAAACTGGTCCTGGCTTGATACCCCTATCAGAGCTTATCTTGCTGCAAGTGCTGAGGAGAAAACTTCATCCCCTTCCTTCACCTCCCCGACATAATCAGTTAGAAAGTGCAGACTGAGGCCTCTGCCCCTTCCCCCTGGAATTGCCCAGTGGTAACTCCTTCCAGCCATGGGAAAACACAGGTCCTGCTCAGACCTGACCCCCAGAGGAAAAGGTTTTCCTGAGCAGCTCCCTCAGCACCCAAGCTCACCTCAGACCTGCTGATGGCAGAGGCTGAAGCGTCCCAGCTGTGCTGCACAGACCTCCTGGAGCCAGCTGAGCCAAGTGGAAGGGAGAGGGTCAGAGGAATCTGCTTGTGGCACTGCAGCATCATTCCAGCTCCCTCAGCCTCTTATAATAAAGGACAGGAAATGTCTCTTTTGAGCTGCAACTCAATTAGCCTCCAAATAAAGCTGCCCCAACAGGCTCCCAGCCCAGCAAAGCACTCCATGGCTCCTATCTCATGTTCTTATGTCAGCACCCTGCACTTAATAATGAAGAAATACTGATGCCCTTTTCCTGCTAAGCTTTCCTGAGCAGCAGAGCTCCCTTCCTCCTGCTGCCACCAACCAGGCCATGGCATTCCCTCGGTTCCAACACGAGCCCAGCAGCTCCTGAGCACACTGATGGAATCTCATCCCAAGGTTTGGGAGTCTTCCTGGCATATGGGGAAGAACATGAGCAGCTGGTGTCATCCCTGATTAAAGCAGCATCACAAAACACACCTTGCCCTCCCGTGGGAAGCACAAAGCAGTGAACAAATATAAGTTTGAATATGTGACGGGGCCCACAGTGATGAAATCAAGAAGCTGTGGCTCTGCAAACCCTCTGCCACCTTTGCATAAACGTCACGAACCGTCCTGACAGCTCAGAGGCCTCTGGAACATCTGCAGCAGCTTCTCTGCCCGTGACACCTGCACCCCAAACAGCTGCCAACACCTTAAACCTGGCTGGGGTCAGACATTCAATGACCCTGAATGAAGCATCTGCAAATGTTCTGTCACTCAGGGAGGTGCCACAACTGTGCCACTGCCAGGGTGCGCAAAAGTCAGGGCCAGGCAGCGAGGCCACGGATGTTGACAAGGCTTTTGCACGGGGGATTTTATTCAAAATGCAGATTGCAAATAAATTTAGAAGCAGACACAGCAAGGCTCCCATGGAAACAGCACAAAAACCCAGCTGTGGTTTGGATGACTTGAGTCTTGGCAGTCTTGGCTAATCCCTTAAGTGCCATCCAATTACTGCAAATGTGTTTGGCAGCTGCTGCAGTGATTGCAAAGAATTAAATGGTCGGATGGCACTCACCGGAAATTACAAGTCACAGAACTCTGTAATGCATTTAAGGAAAAAAAAACACATCTAAAAAGGAAAATAGCATTACCCACTGCAAGAGCTGACCTCCTTGAGAGCCTTAAGGGACAACAAAAGGGATCCAAGTAATCAGAGAAACTTAATTCAGAGAAGAAATTAGGGAAAAAAAAAAAAAAGAGAGAAAGATTGCTTGTTAGTTTTCCATCAGGCAATATTGGTTAAACCAAAGGAGACAGGAACTCTTTTGTCTTCTGAAGGTCTGAATGAGTAACCTTTGTTTAATCTACTGCTGTCTATAAACACACATTAGATCTGTGGGGTTTATGGTCAAGCAAACATGACAGAAATAAAACAACCACACAAATAGAGACAGGGATAGGAACACTATCAAGTGTCCATCCTTGGGAAAGAGAGGGAATATTGATGTTGAAATCCCTGATAGGACAGGAGGTTTCTTTGTTGGCTGCATCAGTAGAGAGTTCAATAAAGTACCCTAAAAGCTTTTCTGATCTGCACTAGCACATATCCTCCCTCTGCTTCTACAGTCAAAAACTGATGTCACTAAATTCAGTGGCAGAACAAAAGGTCCAGAATTTAACTCTGGGACTTGATCAGTTCTCTAGACTCAGCAAAACCACCGGGATGTCCCACTTGTTCCTGCCCCAGCAGAAGGGCCCAGCTGCCTGTGTGATCCTCACACCTCAGCGTTACGATTCTCTTCTTTCAGACCCAAATCGAATCCATCTGCTCAAGGTGATTTTTCCAGGGACCGGCAGAAGAGTTCTGCTTTTTAACAACTATGGAAAAGAAAAAGAAATAAAAGGAACGAAACCTCAGCTGCATTTCAGCAAAGCCTCGGTCAGACTGCAAGAACCACCCAGTCCTGTGCTGCCACCAAGCTGTGTCCCGTGTCCATAGCCCGAGTCACGACTGTGACAAAACCGCCCGGAGCAACAAAAGCCTGGAGTGCTCCAAGAGTCATTGCACAGGGAGCAGTTTCTATCCCGGCAGGATAGAACACACGTGTCCATATATATACACACAGGTATAAATACATGTGTATATATACACATATGTACACGCATGTACAGAACACGCGTGTAAAGCCAGTCCTGCCGGGACGTGTCCCTGTGAGCCTGGATGGAGCAGCGCTGGCACCGACCCTGTCTCACAGCAGCGACCCGTGCCAGCACCGCGGGACGCTCCGGGAGATCAAGAACAGGAGTGGGACGAGGATCGGGACCAGGACCAGGATCGGGACCAGGATCGGTATCGGGACCAGGATCGCGATAGGAGGGCGTGGTCAGGGGGCGTGTCCTCCCGCTGGCCCCGCCCCGGTGGGGGCGGCCCCGCCGCGCTCTCGCGATAGCGGTTTGAACGGGCGGCGGGCGCGCTCCCCTCGGTCCGGGGCTCCTTCCTTTCCCTTCCTCCTTCCTTCCTTCCCTTCCTGCTTCCCTCCTTCCTTCCCTTCCTCCCTCCCTCCCTCCCCGCGATGCCGCCGCGGCCGCGCCTCCTCCGCACCTACTCCCGCCGCGCCGGGTACCTGCGCCCGCTGCAGCCGCCCGAGCGCTGGATCTCGCCGGCGCAGGACCGCAAGCACCTCTTCAGCTCCACCTCGGCCGCTTCCAGCGCCCTCTCCGCACGCTCCGAGGACGACCCGGATTTCTCTCCGCCCGAGGGCTGCCGGCCGCGGGCCGCCGGTAAGCGCCGCGCCTGGTCCCGGCGGCTGCGGGCCCGCCGCGGGGAGGCGCGGGGGAAGGAGAACCGGGAGCCAGAGCCGTCGCTCTCCTCGTCATCCCCGTCCTCCCCGTCCCTCTCCTCGCCCTCCCCGCCGCCCCCGCGCCGCGCCCGGCGCCGCCGGCAGGGCCCGCCGTGCCCCGCCACGGCCCCGCTGCTGTGCAGCACCCCGCAATGGGAGCCCCCGCAGCGGCCCCGCCGCCCCGCCCGCGGCACCCGCATCCTGTTCAGCTCCGACGGCGGCTCCGGGTCGTGCCCGGGGCTCGGGGACAGCCCCCTGCCCCCCCGCCGCCGCGCCCCGCAGGGCCGGCTCGCCACCCTGCTGCTCAGCACCACCATAGAGAGCGGGTCGGGGCTGGGGGACCCCCGCCCGCCGCACCCCCCCGGGCAGCGCTCGGGGCAGCGCTCGGCGCTGCGGGGCGCGGACGAGGAGGAGGAGGAGGAGGAGAAGGAGGAGGAGATGTGGATCCCACCCGAGAGCGCCAAGCCCGACCCGGGACTGCAGGAGCCCCGCCGTGTGCTGAGGTCGTCGGTGCGGGGGGGGCCCTGCCGGGCTCAAGCTGCCCCGACCCCGCAGAACTCCCCAGGCGCTTTGTCGCCCGCTCAGGCTGAGCCACGGCTCGCTACGCCCTGCGACGGTGCCGCTTCTGATGGGCCCTGCGAGCATCTCGCCAGAGACTCGGCGGAACGGAGCTCGAGGTGTCACACGGGCCCAGCCAAGGAGTACCAGCTTGTGCCACTGGTGGTCTTGGACCCTGAGGAGGTGCCAAGGAGGCTGGCGAGCATGAAGCTCAACGAGAAGGCTGATGTTCAACCCACCTGGCAGCAGCCAGGATCTCCCATGGGCCGCCCAGGCATCTTGGAGAGTAAATATAAAAGGACCAAGGGTGCCTCTGGAGACAGCAGCACCTCCAGGAAAGCCTGTATCAGTGGCTTCAGCGCCAGCCGCTGGGGGAGGCACACGAGGCTCCGCCCAAAAAGGCGCAAAAATAAGAGGCAGCAACAGCCTAACAACTCCTTCCTCAGACCACGGGCCAGGCAAAAACGAGCGCAGAAAGGTGCTCTGGAGGTGTCCGTAGATGTGAGAGACAATGACTGCTCACTCCTCAATAGTTCCTGTTCCTGGGCCAGAGTTCGAGCAACCCTGTCCTTCCACAAGAAGAAGAAGGTGACTGCTGAGGACAGTTTCAGCAGCAGCATCCTCTGTACCCCCTCAGGGAAACTGCAGCTGTCAGGGTACCAAGCCAGCCTGTCGGCTGGGAGGGCTCAGGGCTGCTCCTGGTCAACTTCTTCCATGGTCCTGCTGGCTCCCAGGGATTCCTCTGTCCTGGAGCTGATGCTTACAGATGCAGAGAAGGTGTTTGGGGAATGCCAGCAGGAAGGGCCCATTGCTTTTGAGGAATGCATTCCTTTAGATAAGATGAAAGATTGCAAGAAAATTGGAGAAGGGGTGTTTGGAGAGGTGTTCCAGATCAACAGTGAGAGAGGACCTGTGGCCCTAAAAATAATTCCTATTGAAGGGACTGAGAAAGTAAATGGAGAAGCTCAAAAGAGCTTTGGGGAGATTCTGCCTGAGGTAATCATTTCAAAAGAACTCAGTCTTCTGTCTGAGGAATCTGTGAACAGGACTGTTGGGTTCATCAGCCTGTACTCTGTGCACTGTGTTCAAGGGGCCTATCCCAAGTATCTCCTGGCAGCCTGGGACAAATACCACAAAGAAACAGGGTCAGAAAACGACCGGCCAGACCTTTTTGGGGACGAGCAGCTCTTCCTGGTCCTGGAGTTTGAATTTGGAGGCAGCGACTTGGAGCACGAGAGGTGCAGTTTCTCCTCACTGGAATCAGCCAAAAGCATCTTGCACCAGGTCACTGCGTCCCTGGCCGTGGCTGAGCAGGAGCTGCACTTCGAGCACAGGGACCTGCACTGGGGGAACGTGCTGGTCAAAAAAACAGAGGCAAAGGAGCTTCATTATGTGCTGAATGGGGCAACACACACGATCCCCACAGCAGGGGTTCACGTCAACATCATCGACTACACCCTGTCCCGGCTGGAGAAGGACGGGCTGACCGTGTTCTGTGACCTCTCCACGGACGAGGAGCTGTTCCAAGGCACGGGGGACTACCAGTTTGACATCTACAGGCAGATGAAAGCGGAGAATTCCAACAGCTGGACTGACTATCACCCTCACAGCAACGTCCTCTGGCTGCACTACCTGGTAGATAAACTTCTGAACCACATGAGCTACAAGAGAAAGGCCTCAACTCTTGCCCTGAAGAAAATAAAGGTGCAGCTCACCAAGTTCCACGAGGAGGTGCTGACCTTTGAGTCTGCCCACGATGTTTTGCTCAACAGCAACCTCTTCCAGTGACCAAGGACTAAGTCGCTTTCCCCTCTGCCTTTTTTTTGGATACGTGATCTTTTTACATGTTGGCACAATGAAGGGTTTTAGGATTCCCATTGTGAATAATACACTATAAAAAAATGTCTAAGAAAATCCCCCCCAAAAAGTCTTTTACTCGGAGGTGTTTCCATATCTGCTGTTTTTGAGGGGTGGTGGAGGGGAAACAGCCCTTCCTGTTGACTTCTGTCAACTTTTGTTGAGTGGGCCTTTGAGAAAGATTTCTTCAGGCTCAATAAATGCTAGGGATTTCACGTAATTTTTTTACCTTTTTAGTCTTAGATTATTAAAGGTCGTTTTCTTACTATATTGGCTTTCTTACATTTTCTTTTTTAAAGGAAAAAAAACCCTTCACTTCTGGACAGTGAGGACAAGGGTAAACACTGTTGCCTCACTGGAGACAAAGGGGAAAAAACACCCTTTTATTTAGTTTTAAAACAGAACTTCAGTTTGCTGAAATGCCTACCTGGAATGATGGTAAAAAATGTAAATATGTAAAAGTTTCTGTAAAAGTGTTTTAAACCCACTAGTCTGCAATAATATGTTAACATGGAGGGGGGGTTCCCTCTCTTAAGGACCGAGGAAGATGTATCCGATTGTGAAAAAAAAATAGGACAAAGTACTTGTTCTTGATGTGGTTTTGATGGTTATAATTTTGTGACCTTTTATGCTGGTAGGAACCCAAATCTGTAACTTGGTGGTAGCACTTGAAGCAATTTCTCCATTTCTCACAGAGGAAAATGCCCAAGGTAATAGTTCTTTAGTCCTGACTGCAGGTGCACCAGGTGCCCTAAGTTGGAATCAATCCTTACATTAAATCCCAGGTCTTTGTTTTCCGAAGTCCTTTGCCTGTACTCACATTCATTAAAGAAACTGGTCTAAAGAGAACAACAAATCAAAATAAATGACACAGATGCATTAAGAAATTAAGAGGCAGCACCATCAAATTCATTATAGCTGGAGTGCCCTCGGTGCAGTCTGTCTATATAAATGTGTAAATGTGCACTTTACCAATTAAAAACATCTTTGACCCTTTCTTTTAAGTCACCTTTGTAGAAGCTCAGCAGCTGGAGACCCTGGGAACCTCCCCTGGGATGGTTTTGCTGTTCTGCCTTCCAGCCCCTCCTCGTGCTGTCCAGCACCACAGAAAGGGACCCAACAATCTGCAGTGCTTGGAATTACTGAGGTGGAAGTTGTACTGGAATCTTACATCAGACATCCTTTCGATCCTGTTTTCATCTCTGATTGACTAAAGTAATGCAATATATTTGAATATTCTTGAAACCTGCTTGGGAAGGACTGCAGTGAATGCTTATCTGATGTCAAGGATGTTCTTTGGCCACGATGGGGTTGTTTGCATTTGTGCTTTTTTTTAAAAAGAAAAAGGATAAACCATGTTATTCTTTGCCTGCCTTTGGTGCTTTGTTTCTGTGGTTTGAGAGCTGCTGATTTGGGCTGTGCAGGAGGGATGGGACAGTGGCAGGAACTAAGAAAAGAGAGGTGCCAGCCCAGGGGTGACATGGGTGGTGGTGTTGGAGCATTTGCATAGTTAATACAGATTTTGAAAGCTGCCACCGCCTTGGAATGTTTCCCTGCAAACCAATTTGCTAATCTGGTGGACATGTAGTGATTTTCATTATTCAAAATTTAAAGCTTCTACCCCCTCCCAGAATGGACCTTAAATTAATGTAGAAACCTTTGCCTTAAACTGGGCTTCCAAGGCAGTGCAGCTGCCAGAAATGAGCCCTCATTTTCTTTTTAAAGATGCTCTCTGATTAAAATAAATACAGAAAAAAAAATATTGTGTACTAGCCAGTGCCCATAAATTTTAATGGGAGTCAGTTCCCCATAAATTCCAAGAAAGGAATCAGAATGGTAACTTCCCCCTAATCAAGACAAATGCCCTGAACAAATATTTTCATCCCAGTCACTTGGAATGAAAGCTTTAGCTGGAACAGAGCTGGATTCTGTATTTTAATGCTCTGTTCTCCCTGCTAAGGAAGGAGGATGCCAGAACCCAGTTTGCCACTTCAGAAAACACAGGTTTTTTAATTTCTGCTGCACCTAAATTAGGCCCTTCAAGGGTGCTCCATCTTTTACTGAAACAAGGAAGTAAACAAAGTTAAAATTATCCTAAGGGAAGGTTTTTCACATGGATCCAAAGGCTTGAGAAAGCTGAAAAGAACAAGCCTAATTTTGTGTAACCAGTGAGTGATAAATCAAAATGGGCTCCAGGTAGGAATTCTGGTGTTTCCAGTTCTCAGTGGATTTTGAGGTGAAGACAACACCACTCAGTGATACTCGTGGTGATTGCAGACCTATTTTGGATCATGCTTTTAAAGTTGAATTGCCAAATCTCTGAAAATTTTGCCCATTTTGAGGGAAAAGACAGGCAAAGTATCAATTACCCTGTAAATACCCTGTAACTCACCAGGCTACTGATAAAACGGGGGGAGTAGTGTATTTTCTGCCCATCATTCCCTTCAGGAAAAATCAGTGCAGGAATATAAAAATTATCTTTTGCTTTAGGAAATGCCCCCCAGCCGTGAGCTGGATTAGAAGGAAGAGCAGCTCTGGCCTGGCTGGAGAGAGAGAGAGAGAGAGGATGAAGAGCAGCTGCTCAGGGTATCATTCAGAGGCAGGGAAAGGGATATGAATGATTTCTACTCACCTTGAGCACAGGCTGCCCCGCTCTGCAGGCAGACTGCAGCAGCTGGTGGGGTTGGGTGGCCGCAGTGAGCAGCAGGACAGGGTGGCTGCCAAAGGATCAGGAATGCTCTTAGTGCTGGAGAAAAACACTGGGAAATTCAACTCGGCCCTGGGTCTGCTCCCATAAAGAGAATTAGGCACAAATAGCCCAATAAAAGCTTGAGAGTCTTAAATCAGATAAATCCAGTGTTTGGGCCCTAGTCCTAACAACTGAAATGTTCCCTCCCTCCCCTGGAGCTCAGTGCAAGGTTTGTTTGGGTAATAAATCACTTGGGTGTCTGTGCTGGGTTTCCTTGCAGCAGTTTGCTGTGAGCTAAGGGGCTGTTCTACAACCCCACCTGGGCTGTCAGCGTCCCAAATATGTCGGGTTTGGGGTGGTTCAGGACTGGAGTTGTCACATACGAGTCTACGAGTCACCTCCATTAGTGAAACGTTCATGGTCACTCCTCAGTGTGGCCCAGCAGTGACTCCTTTCTAGAATCAGACAGAAAAAGGTTTTTATTTGATGGGAGTTCTGAAGCATCCCGATTCTGGGAAATAATCCCTCCACCTGCTTTCACAGGCAGGGTAATGCAATAGCCCAATTAATTATTTAATATTTAGGGTGTGTAGGAAAATGCTTCTTAATATCAAAGGCAGACACTTCCACGCTTTATGTAACATTTCATCACTCCTGTTTTACACCAAGGCTGACTTTAAGCTCTGTTCCACTTCAGTCAGTCTCCAGGGTATATTTTTATAGCAAAGTGATGCCTTCTGGTTCATGCAAGGCCAGGGGAACTGAGCAGCTCTTTGCTGTAGTGCTGTGAATCAGCCTGAACCCAAATCATATGTTCATAAATGCCAGAAGTGGGATTTTTAGGATGATCAGAGCTGTTCAAAGCTTGCTCTGTGCTCTGAGGTTCCCTGGGACACCCAGCCATGCCCGTGGAGGCACAGAGAGTGCTGTGGGAATGTGCTGTTTATGGGAATGAGGGACTGAATGGAAAGTCCCGTCAACAAGAGGACAACACCGAGAATTCGAAGAAAACGCCTTTTGCACAAAGATGGCATTTTATGGGAGCTCTAAACGCAAAATCTGGAGAACAAAACAACCATGACTCACTGAATGGGCCTGGTCAAAGCCAGAGGAGCAGCACAGACAGTCCTGTTGCCGCAGTCCCTGTCAGGGAGCTGAAAGCAAACACAGATCAGGTCACGTTGAACAGCCCTCATTTTTCTAAGGCAGCAGATTCAGAATATCTCTGCACACACATCCTCTGAGCACCAAAGTTCCCATGACCTCAACTGAGGAGAAGCTGGAACTGAAAGACCCTCCAGTGATCAGTCAGTCCTAAACTGCTGATGTTTTGTGGTTCAGCTCCCAGGATAAGGTTTATTGGCAACCACATGAGAAGTCTTCACTGGGGACAAGGCCTTGTCAAAGCAATGCCAGTTGTTTACCCCTGGATTGCCACAGGGCAAGGATATTAATTTCTTTTCCAGAGATGATATGTTTTTCTTGAATAAATGTGTTCATATGCTGTGCCAGATTGGAGACACCCTATTTTTTTTCCTTTAGCAACAGTTTTATTCACCAATAAATATCTACTGCCTGTGGCTGATGTTTCTGGAGAAGGTCAGTGATAATTAATAATTAGATAGGTGTGTAAGTACACTGACAAACACTCAAGAATCTCATGCATTATTGTTAGGAAATAAATGTACCCTCAAGATCATAATGCCTGAGAGCACTGACAATGGTCATTAGTGTTCATTACTGCTCAGGGCTAAATGTTGTCCTCTCTTCTCTGTCCTAAGCTTTATGGACACCTAATTAAATATTGAATTGTGGTAAAGACTCCTTTCTGCTGCTAAAGCAGCAAAAAGCTGCCTCTTTACAGAGCTTTCTGGAGTTTTCTCAGGAGCTGTGATTGGGATTTCAGACTGAAAAAGGGCTGGATTAGCTGGCAGGAAGCCTGTCCTGCACTGCAGCAGAAGAGCCAGGATGTCAAACTGAACCTTGAAGTTTATGGCAAGTTTGCAATGCCCCAAATATTGTTTTGGAACAAATACACTAAAAATTATATTAAAAATTTTAGTAATTTTTTTTAATCACTTCATTATAAAATTTGTAGGGTTGTTACTACCAAATACACCATTCAAATAATAATAATGCATTAATACAAGTGGAGAGCTCAGAGTCTGAAAGGTCCTGCACAAAACACACAAACCTCGTGCCTTCCACACAGGTAACACCTGATCTCATGTTAAACAGGGGCACAGGAGAAGTGTGGTCAAAAATAAAGCAATTTTTAGCAGAATTGGGGTTGAACCTTAGAGATGAGGTTCTCCAAACAAGACAGGAGTACCTATTTGAGGAAAAGCTGGGCCTAAATCTACCCAGAATACTGGACTGCTAAGTAGGAAGGCAGCAGAGGGCAGGAGATGACATGCAAAGGCTAACAAAACCACGTATTTGTTTATTTTTAGTAGTAAAAACTTCATCCTGGAAAGAGAAAAAGCTCTTTGCTTGTGTTTTATTACCTGAAAATGCATTTTCTAATGGGTGCTCTCTGCCCAGCACAGGAACAGGACACTCCATGTTATCATTTTTCTCGTGTTTAACTCTCAGAAAAACCCTGGAAAAACAGTGGAACTCACATGGCTACGAGAAAGGAAGATCAAGAAGTTAAGAAAATATCCAGGCATTAAAATGCACACGTTACCTCTGCTCCAGTTTCCATCTCCTGGCATATTTAAGGACCTTCTGGCTCAGATGTTTTCTTTGGGCCACTGTGTTTAGCAGCCATCAGTGGACCACGAGCCCCTCAGATGTTTGTTTGGATCATTTTATATATTTTTATGCATTTTATAAATTTTTATACATTTTTATACATTTGCCTCCCACGCCTTCCCCTGGATAATGTGGTCAGTAATTCAGCTGCAGACTGAAAACCAGCTTGCTCATGTTTGCTTTCTCCCTGCAGAGACAGCACATTCCAACCTGGTCAGAATTCCCAGTTTTCACCTCCTTGAGGCACTGAAGTAAAAGCTGAGATTGTACCAAAACAGAGTTCTGCTGTAACGAGGCTGTTATTTTGGAAAATCAGGATCCTCTCAGGGTTGAATCTCCTGCTGGTGGGACTGGACAGCTGCTCTCAAGCTGGGCAGTGAATTACTGATAAGGAGCAGAATCAAAGATAAATTTTGGAACTCAGGCATTAAAATGCTTTCAGGCAGCCTGGCAGCAAGAACAAGAATTGCTCAGTGTTTCCATGGTTTGTCACCTGGACCAGGCTGGCCTATTTACAGCAATCCCAGTTTCTGCTGGGAACGTTCAGAACACGCCAAATCCCAAGAGCCTGGAGGCACAGACAGCCAAAATACACCAGTGTGGGCAGAGCTTCGGCATCAAACACCATGTTTATGTTTCCATTAGATAAACACATTATCCAGCAGTTCCAGCTCTCTCCTCATCTGGAATTTTGTTTTCAGATACGAAATGCAAGAAGAAAATCAGATCCATCTGCCCCTGTCTCAGCCTTTGGGAGCTGCACAGGTCCCTCAGCTGCCTGACCAGGTGTGTGATTGAAAAGGAGGGACAGGATGTAAATAAACTATTTTTTGCCTAAATGACCCAAATTATCAGTGCTGAATAGCAGGCAGACCTAATGTGTTAATGCCTTTATGTTCACTATCTCATACTTGCTGGAACCTTTGGACATACAGAGGCAAAAGCCTTTGCAACTTGAACTAAAGGGTTTATATTTTATATAATTTCTAGCACTGGGAAAGGTTTTTTTTTTTTATGTCCCTCTGATGCTGAATTAAAAATAGAATAATGACACACTGCTTGGAACACAGATTCTATATTTGTCTTTGAAGCATTTCCCCAGCACACCAAAAAATAACATTTATTATCTACCAGAGCACAGTCACGTTCTCCAGAGATCCTGCTGCCCTGTCTTGGACACCATCATTAGGGAAATCAAAGCCACCATCACCAATGGATTGTCCAAAATACTGGAGTCCTGAAGAAATTCCAGAGGCTTTTACTCTCTAAAACAGTGGGAGGAAACATCAACAAATAGAAGTCAGGATCTCTCCCCTGTCCTAAGGAAAATACACTTCTCTGTAGGGGTGATTTTGTGACACCCCTGAGATGCAAAATACTGATTCTTAACGTCCTGGAATGGAAAAGGCTGTTCTGGAGCAGCACCTGAAGCTCCTTTGCCTCACCAGGCAGGTGAATAATTAGGAGTTAAGGAGCAGCTTCTGCAGAAACCTGTGGAGTGACACAAACCATCTGCAAGTGTGTCACCCCAGTGACACCAGCCTCTGCTACAAAAACACCAGCTTTTCCCTCTCAAGGTGCACTGCAGCCAGTTCCCACCAACACACCCACCTGGGGAACAGAGCCCTTGAAATTCTCTTTATCACCATTAAAGGTGGAAGAGCTGCCCAAAGAGGAATGGTTTGAAAACTGATCTTCAAGGGGGGTACAGCTGCAGTATAGAATATATAGTATCCTCATATCCATCCCCAAACCTCGCCAAGGCACAGGTCACCTGCACATTGAAGTGGCCTTTCAAGGTGAGAGAATGAGTCTGGAAAACGCTGGAGGCAGAAATCCTTTTACAGCAAATGTAGCGTAACTCTCACATTGAAAAAAAAATCCCACATAAGACACAAAACAAATCTTACTGCACAGTCTTTTCTTAAATCAGCAGCAGCTGAGGGGATCCCCAGCCTGTTCCACACAGAAACCAACCCCTGCCCTCACCCTGTGACAGGAACGAACCACGAGAGGGTGCACGTTAATTGAATCCTGACGTGCCCAGGCTGGGTTTCTTCCAACCATCCTGTGTGTGCACAGCCTTGCAAGGGGACCAAGGAGGGTTCCCCCCTGGTCTGCTGCTGAAGTTCCCTTCTCGTTCCAAATGACACCATTAACTTCCACCCTGGGTGCTGTGTAACAGGTCCTGCAGCCAGGGCCTCACACAATACTTGTTTTCTGCGTGTCCCAGGAAGGAAAGTCCCAGCAGCTCCTCTTGCACACGTGTGTGGCACTGAAAACTTGTCTGTGTCCAGGCAAAAACCAGGGTTTTCCCACTCTGGGGTAAGAGCACACCTTAAGTCCCGCAGAGTTTTATTTCTTGCACTGAATAATGTCATTTCTGTGTTTCTCTTTTCTTTCCCAGTGCCTCAGGCAGCAGCTCTGGCTGCAGCCCTCAGTCCTCTACCATACAGGGAGAGCACGGCCGGCGGGAGCACAAAGCAGGAATGTTTTATTTGTCACTGCTCAGGCACGGCTGGAAAATCCCCAACATGGAGTGTTTACGCTACCAGTGTTTTCACCTCTGTCTCCAGGCGATGGACGTAAACCCTTCCTCCTTCCCCCCCATCCAACGGAGCTCCAGCGAGCAGAGGATCTGTCACCCCATCGCGGCTCACATCGAGTGGGCAGAGCTCAGACCCTAAACGAGATCCAACCTGTGCTCCAGAAAAAGGCAAGCAAGCCCTTTCCCTGGAATTCTCTATATATAGCTTTGTAGGATCGGTGTCCTTTGCAGCGGAGTAAGGCAATTTTTAGAACAAAACATCGCATATCTACTTATATGTGGATCGTTTCCTATTATTTATTTTATTACAAGCCATCCTCGGGGACAGATCCTGCAACCAGTTTAGCAGCAACAAAATCATCATTCAACAGTTTGACAGGGGGGAAAGAGCAACAAAGCCGAGGACCTCCCTCCCTGCAAACCATGAGAACAGAGCATGTGTTTTTTCCCCAGTCTTTTCCCAAATTTCATGATTCCTTCAGGTACTTGCTGCAGGCTGGAAGGGATGAGCAGAGGGTCATTGCCTGTGGCACTGCCAAGCAGGTTGGCACAGGGCAGGGTTACCTGGCTCCCAACTCCTGCAGCCTCTGCTGGGCTCTGGGGCTTTTCCAGGAGCTCCTGCAGGAACTGCAGACACACCAGGGGCCTGCCCAGCACCAGAGCAGCAGCTGCAGCCCCCAGCTCGCTGCAGGAGGGGTTTTAGCAGCGCTGGATCAGTGCTGTCCTTGCAGCCGAAGCTGCTGAAGGGTCCCCAGGCCTCTCGGCAGCCACTGCTTTCCCCTCCTGACCAGGGCAGGGATCATTCTCATCCTGGATGGACCAAGGACTCCAAAAGAGCAGAATTATTTTATTTGCAACAGGACTGAGTGCCTGACTTGTGCGTTGGGGGTGTGAACACCAGCAAAACCAAAGCTGTCAACTGGAGATGGATCTTCCTCCCAGTGGAACAGAGACCGGGTTCTCTTTACCCAGACAGTCTAAATTTTCCAAGAATTCTCAGAAAAGGGTGCAACAAATCACATGGACACTTTTTAGCTACCTCCAACTCTCATCTTAAAGGACTCCCCGTGTCACCATTTGACAACCATCCTCCCAGTCCAGAAATGCTGCAGCACTCCACATCTCACAAATCCAAACTGAAGAAAAAAAAAAAATTATGTTAAAAGAGGAAGCAAAAAAACCACCCTTTGCACTCAGATTTAGTAACAGTTCTGTGCCAGCCACAGTCACGTCTTCCTGAGCCTTTGCCTGGTCCTGCCAGGCCCCACTTTTTTTTTTTTTTTGTGCTGCTGAAGCAGATGTGAGGTTGCAAAGCGGAAGTTTTCCTTTAAAATGTCTTTTCTCCTCCCATCCCCCCCCCAACCCCCCATCCCCAACTTTATTTTCGTTTTAGAGCAACAAATGCAATTTCTTAAAGACCAAAAGCGAGGGGCAGCCCCAGGAAGGGCCCAGCTGCAGCCCTTCAGAGCCCGTGCAGCTCGTGGGACTCACAGAAAGCATCTGCTCTTCGTCGGGGCCCTTGGGCTGTCACATTTCAAAGGCTCCCTCTGCGAGCTCCAGAGGCAATGGAAAGTATGTTCAGTTGCAAGTGGGGTCAGGAAGAGATGAAGAGAGAGGGGAATCAACTCAGCCACGGATACACCTCCCCTTGCTGGCTCCAGCTTCAGAGCAGGCGTCGGAAAAACAGGGAGGGGAAAAAAATCCGACAGCAAAATAAAATGTGCAAAACATCTGAGGAACAGGAAAGCCTTGGCTCCACCTCTGCCCCTGAGGAAAATGGCCTGGTGGGGGATTAGGAGCCACACAAACCAGGCATGAAGTGTCTTTGAGGAAAATGGCACGGATAAGCTGTGGGATGGATCACTGGGAGGTGGGAAGCACTTGGAGCCCTCTGGAGAAGGCACAGGGAGCAGCGGGCAGGCAAGGAACGCTCGTGTAAAGTTTGGAAGCCCAAGGTCCACATTGCCATCCCACCCTGCCAGGAGCCAAGCAGCTCTGACCAAAGCACACAGGAGAGGGTTGGAGAATCCCTGATCCTGTGTGGAAAGCACTGGGAGCTGCTGGTGCCTCTTCTTCATGGCGTGGCTGGGCCTCCAGAGTCTCTGTTGGTCATACACGCAGGGCAGACAGAGGACAGAAACTGCAGCTGTTCCTTCACTGATGTCTGTGAAAGGTTCCTGCTTTGCCAGAGCCCTGCAAACCCTCCCCATCCGCCCAGGAAGGGGCTCACATGCAGGTGGGTTCACCTGTCACAAGAGGTAGAAGGGAGAGGACAGGTCATCTGCTCATAATTTCTCATGTAAATGACTGAAGTGTTTCCTGACAAAATATTATGGTCTATTAAGGGTCTCAAAATTCTTCTGGGCCTTCAGAGCTATGAGCCAGCCTGTAAGTCCTTCCCCTTGCCAGGAACTGCAGGCATCTCATGAAACAAGTCCCAGCCAGCCTTCCCATCTGCAGCAGGACCAGACAGGGAAGTGGTTCAGTGGTGGAACCAAAGGGGAGCCTCGTGCACTGGGAGGCTGCTGATGACAACCACCACAGCGCTGACTCATCCTCACTGCAGAGAGGTGTCAGCTCCTCAGAAATCCCCTTTTTTCCGTAGCACATCAAAGAGCTGGGCAACAGCCCCCCACCAGCTGGACGTGCCTGTCCCTGCCCAGCATCCTTCATCCAGGAGCTGGGGGGGCCTGGGAATGCTGGACTGAGCTGGGACTGGGGAGCACAGGGAGTGCCAAGCCCTGTTTCACAGCAGAACATTTCTCATGCAGGTCAAAAGATAAACGAGCGCTGCAAGCTCAAGGAAGGGATTTAAAGAGAAGGAGGTTGAGGGAATGGCTGAAGGGGCAGGGGTTGTTGCAAGGAAGCTGTCACAGCCCACAGCTTTCCAAAACTACCAGGAAGCAAAATTTCTCTTTTGTGATTTATCAGGACTCTAGGCAGGGATGGCAGATCTGATCCTGCATTCTCTGAGATTCTCAAAGAGTCCCCCCCACAGCAAAGCACCAGGCACAGCAATAGATTTATCATATGCCAGATGATCCTTTTGTGCAGTGTGAGCACCTTGCCAAATCTTGGGAACACTTAGGACAAAGCCATAGATGGGAAAAGCAGCTGAAGGCTTCACAAAGCAAGAAAACAACAGAAGCTGGAGAGAGAAAAGTCAGTCAGCACTCAGAGCCCCAGTGGGGTGAAGCTGCAGGGGAGTTGCCCAGCACGGGGGAAGAGCCCATTTCAGTGCAGGGAGGGAGTTTTAAGGCAATGCCAGTCCCCTGCAGGCAGTGAGGATTAGGATGGTTGTCTCCAGAAGAAAAACCTCCAGGCCTCACTCAGAGTAGAAAGGAGACAGAGATCTCCAGCTGCATAGTTTATCTTGCTGAAGGGAAGGTCAACACTCAGAGCCTGCAGCTTTGCTGGGGATATCACCATTCCCTGGGGATATCACCATTCCCTGGGGATATCACTATTCCCTGTGTGGAAGGGGCATCCAGTGCAGCATCAGCTGCTCAATGCTCAGCTGTGGCTGCACAAACTGACAGGAGGTCGTGAAAAACAATTTAACTGGCACAGCAGCGAGGGCAGCACAGCACTGGGGGAAATGTCATCAGGAATTAGGTAAGGCCACTGGTCACCCCTTCTCCTGCTTTTTGGGAAAGACTGAAACGCTAAAAATATGTCCAAGGATGAATATTTTCAATGAAGCAAGCTTGCTATATTGACAGTTTACAGAAATGTTACATGTTACTGTTTTTAAATACAATGAAAAGTGAGACAGCTCGTTTTTATCTCTTTTCCACAGAGTTCAGGCTGCCCCTCCTGCCCGGGGCTGGGTGCACGTCACAAAAAGCAATGAGGTCCTTGCAAACGTTTGCAGCAAGACAGGATGCCAGAGCTGACAGGAAACATCAACCACACAGTAAGTTTCGGCCCATCAGTCTCTCAGAGCCACGAGCAGGATCCTGCTGCTGTTTATTACAGACACAGAGCAACCTGTGAGAGACAGATGCCTCCGAAATTCCCCGTGTGAGAGCTCACAGGTCCAGGAAATCCACATCACTTCATGTGCTTTTAAGCAAACGTGCACGTCGTGCAAAGAATTTCATTCCAACACTGTAAAAAGGGGGATTCTGATGTGGAACTGACCACAGAGCACTGCAGGTGCTGAGACAGACACTCAGAGCAGCTCTTGCTGACTGCACACTGAGTGTTTGTCCGCTCGTGCCTCGCACCCACAGCGCTTTGCACAGAAGCCAACTCCATCCTGAGCAAGTTTTTATGACTCTACAGCATTTTTTTATTCCAAAGCACTTGAGTGCAGTCTCTTGTGACCAAAGAATAAGTTGAGCCACTCTTTTCTAGGTTGCTCCATCAGCATTATTCCTGTACAGCTCAGGGAGCACTGCCTTCCCAGAGACCACTCCCCGCTGCCCCAGGGGTCGCTCTTGGATCTTTAGACATAGTAGTAAGAAAGTGTCAGGCAGAGAAAGTTGAGTAAAAATAGTTTCTTCAAAGGAAATGAATGATTAAAGTGCACAAAAGTACTTAAAGCCACAGGCTGAACCACAGTCCTTGACAAAATGCACTTTAATACTGATAATGCCTTCAATTCTTCCAGCTGCTACAGGAAGAACTACTCCTTTGGAGATGGGAGCAAGGTTGCAACTCAGAAAACCTGTTAAAGATCTCTGGTTTGTCCCTGCAGAGGCATCATCTCTGTTGCTGATGGCTGGGGCTGCAGGGGTGACTGCTCCTCTGATCTCGGAGGTTTCTGTGGTGGCCGTTTCCACGATCTTGTCTCTGCAGCAGGAGACACAGGGACGGCCCTTCATCAGCAGGAAGCTGACAAAGGGACCCAGTTTAGAAGAGGGCAGGTTTAGGGAACACCCAGCACACACCAGGTAATGTTTCAACCCTCCCAGTTCTAGAAAACTGGCATGCAGGAAGGACCCGCACTGCAAGAGCAGGAGGTTGGGTTCAAATCCAAGCTCTGCCAGGATGAACAAAATATTTCCAGGGAAAGTAACAGCTCTCTGTTTGCCACAGAGTGGCATTCCCAGAATGATCTCAGGCAGAATTTGGCCGAGTTGTCAGTGGTAATGCCCAGACTCATGCCCTAAAAACCCTGTGATTTTAACACCTGCAGTACGAGTGGGCCTAAATTTTACCACTTCTATAAAAAAATCCAGTGTTTCCTGCCCATTTCTACCAGAGGGAAGTAGGAATGGCATCTCCCTTATGCTCAGTTTGTTCCCAAACCCTGACCTGATCCACACCCATAGTAAATCTTTATTTTCTCAGCTCACAAGTGATGCTGTGAGAAAGCAATTTCATAAGCCAGTTGGTCAGTCTAAAACCTCTATTACCAAAGATGTAATAACTTGCCAAGAGCAGTTGCTGAGCAGGAAGCTAAAAGGATACTGAAGGACTTTCTTCATGATTTAATTTACCTTCTGGATTTATTTCTGAATCACTGGTGTTTCCAGGGTCTTCCTTCAGAACTCCCACATCCTTTGCCCAGTCTGCCCATTTAATTTCCTCTACTCTGGAGAGACAAAATGCAGCAGGCACTGATGAAATGAGCTCAGCATTTCAACCCAGATCCCACAGTTCCAACCCAGCCTCCCAACCCAGCTCATCCTGCTGTATGCAATCCTAGGTTTGGCTGCAGCAACAGCACCTTACAGAGCTTTTCTTTGAGTAGATCTTCTGCACTCTAAGCTCCATGAAGTAAAACATCTTCTCCCCCTGCATGTGGTTTGTTGTTTGTTTTAAAATACTCCAGTTCCTCCAGTTCAGGTTCTTAATACAAAGGTGACAATGCTGGCAGCTCTTTTAGCTCTCAAACTTCCAGCCTGGCAATCACCAACCAATTTGCATGTACCCAGGAATATGTGGTTGAGTCACTGCTGAAATTCCCTGTGGCTGTCCAGGGTTACCAGGCTGGGAATCAGGGGATTCCATTGCTAGGCTGGAGTGTGAAGGATGTATCTGTCTTACCTGAAACACCACCTCTCATCTTTCTTATTGAGCCCCACTGACATGAAGCAGCCAGATCTCCTCTTCCCACCCTGGCGCCACAGCCAGGCCTTCTCTATTTCTAGAATAGCAATAGCCCTCTGCAAGAAGAAATCCATGTCAGAGAGAAATCAGGGCATTAACAGAGCCCAGCCCTTCTTTTCCATTAAATCTTCCCCAACGAGCAACTACTTTGACTTAGAGAATCACTTTGGAACCCAGTCCCAAAGTGCTCCTTCGCTCAGTGGTGCCACTCAGTCACTCTCTCAAGTTCCTCGTGCACATGGATCATGCAAAGAGCAAGAGCTGTAAATACATCTAAAAATGATGTCAGGATGTACCCCCAGGGTGGCAAATTTATAGGAAAGACTCATGTAAAGGTTTAGGACAAAAAGACAGGCACTGCCATCTCTGATTCAGTGAGACTCGAGCAGAGCTTTGGGGCCTCACCTGCAGCTTCCAGACACTCTTGCTGTACCCAGAAATGTCCGTGACCGTCTCGCTCATGAGGGCGATCAGCATGTTGAGCAGCAGGATGTAAGTGAGGATCACAAAGAGCAGCAGCAGGAGCATGACAAAATATCTGAACCTGACATGCTCCTGGAAATCCAGGTCGCCCATCCCAATGGTGATCTTGAAGAGCTCCAGGGAGACGCTGAGCAGCCCCCCGTACATGGCGTGGCTCCCACCGCTCTCCAGGTGAGCCAGGGACTTGTTGTGGGACACCGAGGGAGCGTCGCCCATCAGAGTAACCAGAGCTGTGAGGAAAACAGAGTTGAGGTTCTCCTCAGAAAAATCCACTTCTTGCAGCCCAGACCACAACACAACACCGAGCCAGGGCTCACCTGCAGCGAAGCCGAAGAGGAAGATCATGTACACCAAGAGGAAACGCAGCAGGTCCCTCATGATGGTCTGAAACACAAATCAGGAGGAAGTGCTGATCTTCATCTTGAGTGAAATCACCAGGATGATCCCCCCTTCTTGCCCATCATAACCAACCCCCAGGAGCAATGCTGAAAGCAAGTTGGAAAGTGCTTCCATCTAGTTTAAGACACTACTCACATGTGTCAAAGTGATTCCTCGGTTAAGTAACATCATCGGTAGCTTAATCTGACAGTACTGCATTCACTTATCAGTTGTTATGTTTGTATGAAGAGGTTCTTTGAAACAAATCAACATCCTGTCAGTTCCCCAGTACAGTTGTTTCCAAATTGTTGCAGCACACACATCCCCCTCTTTCCCACCTCCACTGGGTTTGCACAAGCAGTGATCACAATTCACCCCGGCACCTCATTTCGCCTCTGCCCTGCTTTTCTAGTCCCTGACTCCCATGTAGACCTGAAAACACTTCCCAGGCCAAGCCTAACAGTTCCAGGGAACTCACACTGGTTTTTCCTGCTAGTTTTGAGCTGTTTGGTGACAAACAGGTGTCACCTGCTCTGTTCAGTGAGAGCACACTCGTGGTTCACTGCAGCTGTACTTGAAGACACTGATCTAATCTCCTACAGTGTCTGTGCTTCCAGAGCCAGGACATCAACTCCATTTATGGTTTTCATGGTGCTGAGAGAAGGAGAGCAATCACAGGACTCCCAGCAAAAGCTTTTCATGCAGAGGGTTTCCCCCCCCAGCACTGACCTTCTGGATCATGACACTGTAGATCCCAGTGCGCTGGAAGCCCCGGGTGTAGTACAGGGTGTTCACCCACCCCAAGAGCAGGGAGAACACCATCACTGCCACGTAGTTTTCTGAGCTGGCACCATACAGGACTGCTGACAGCAGCAAAGAGAACGCCTGGATGAAGCTGGAGACAAACAGAACGACACAGTGACTCACCTCAACTGGTCTGATCTCTTCCCGTTGCAGATCTGTTCTGCTTCTCAGTGAAAAGCAAATTTTAGGAGGCTACAAGGAGCATAAGAATGGCAGATAATCAGAGTCTATATGGAATCAGAGGATGGTTTGGGTTGGAAGGGACTTTAGGGATCATCTAGTTCCAGACCTACAAATTGCTGCAGTTTTGTTCTCACAGTGTGGAAGCTCTGAACTGCTTGGTATAACTCATATAACATATTAAATGGGGAAAAAAAAGGTAACACTTAGAACACAGGCCCACATCCATCCAGCCACACACATACATTGATGCACATTCCTCCTCAGAAAACTTGGAAGTTCTTTTCCTTTCAGCTAATTCCGAGCCAGAGTGACAGTGTGATTGAGAACCTGAGCTCTGTTTCTAACAAATATACGTGTTCTTAACTGTGGAATAATTGACGGTCTGACCTTCACAGACAGGCTCTGCCCAGGAAATGCCATCACAACAAAGGGTTAGGACAAGAGGTAGAAGTGAGCAGGGATGGGAAGAGGCAGTGGCAGAGGATCAATGTCTCCTGCTCACCACCTCTCTAGCAATGCCAGCCACACCCAGCAGGGAACCAATTTCACCAAACTTTCCCTGTGCCAAACCCCTGCAGGGACGTACATCAGGATCTCGATGCAGCTGTCAGAACACATGGTCTTCAGGGACTGGCGTCTCCTCCTCAGGTACAGACTCTGGGGGAGAGAAATCAATGGGAGCCATTCACCAAGAGCAGGGCAGGTTAGAGAGGGATCACACCCAGCCTGTGGCTCGGGGCAAAGCTTTGCTCCATGAGCTCCTCCTCGTGCTTCCATCTTCAAGACCCCAGATTGCACTTAGTCATACTTCTAAGATGAAAAAAAGGCCTTATTTATAAAGGGCAAGGATAAACAAGGGCTGAATCATGGCTCAGCCCCATGGCCTTATTAATAGACTGCATTAAATGCCAGGGATGCATTTTAATACCATAAATCATACAAGTCTCTCAGAATTATTTGCTGTTGTGAAGCTATGATCGCTCCTGCCCAGCAACCCTGCTTGTGCCACCCCTGTCACTGCTGGATCCCACTGACACTACATGTCCCAGAGCAGCTTTCCCTCCTGCCATCCACTCCTGCACATCCTGATGTCAGGAGAACTGAATCTGCTGTGTCAGTGATAGTTCCCTTTTTTTATTTTTTTGCTTTCTTACAATGAACCTAGGCCAGAGACCCCCATACCTGAGCAAAGATCAGATAAATGCCTCCTAACAAGATAATGATCAGTCCAGACACCCACAGGAAGCCTCCAGCCGTGAATTCCACTGGAAATGAAGGCTGCAAGACAAAAGCAAAACCACCCAAGCCTGTGAAGACGGGCAGAGGCAGTGATGACAACCACACATAACCTTTTAAACTCTGCTCCAACCATCCAGGCCTTTCCAGAAAAAAGACTGGACCCACCTTTACCCGTAAGGGCTGATAGTAGGCGATGGCTGTAAAGATGATCATGAACGACAAGTACGAGACAAAACTGAAGTAGAACCTCTTGGAAGCAAAAGTTTCCCATTTTTGCTGGAGCAGCTTGTTCAGTGGCTCCAAAACCACCATCTTGTACCGGTTCTGTGGGAAAACAAACAAGCAAAAATGGACCTGTGTGTCAACAGGGGTGAAAACTCAGCAGAGGATTGTCTTTTTGGGTGTTGGAGCTCAGTGGCTCCAGCTGGGGAATCACTGAGGGTTTATTCAGTCAGGCCTTGCAGTGTGAAAGAAATCAACAATCCCATAAGAAGTTACTTCTGCTTGGCTTTGTCAAGATATTTGGACACACCCAGGATCAAAAATTTCTCTGGAATTATAGGTGATCAGAGGCAGGCCAAGCAAGCTGCAAATAATAAAATCTGCAAACCTTGCCATTATGGATTTCTTTATCAGAAAAACGATCATCTGAAACACCGGATAAACTCAAAGGGATTTGCGTAACGACACAGCAACGCTGTGGAAGGACAGGAGAAGGTGCTGCTGTGGGACTTTCTGTGAGGCCCTCACCGGGGTGTCGCTGCTGTAGGCCAGGATCTCCAGCACAGAGTTCTCCTCGAAGCTGTCCAAGGAGGACAGGTCGTAGAGGGACACGTGGATGGGGCCGTAGGTCCACTCGGTGAACTTGCGGGACAGGTGCCGGTACACGGGGTCCTTGATCTCCCTCTGGATGATGTGCCTGAAGATCTGAGACAAACCAGGGGCACAGAAGAACATGCATGTGGTGAAGGTGCAGAAGGACAGAGCTGTACCCAAACCACCCTCCCCTGCAGCACACCTGGATTTGTGCCCTACACGCCTGGACACACCAAACACCAGGATTTGGTGAAAGCAGGCAGTGAACTACATCTTGTACCTGCTCTTCCAGGAGCAGAACCAGATTCGGTCCAGACCAGCTGTCCTGGGTGGGACAGAGAGCAGCAGCCAGCTGAGGCTCTGCAGGACACTCAGTGACTTGGAGGTGACCTCCTTGACCCTTGGCAGCAGCGTTACCGTGGGTTGGGTGCAAGATGCTCCTCCCTCAAACCCCACTGCTCTGAGGGTGCAGGTCACACTCTCTCGTTCCTCATCAACCCCAGGGATTCCCCCTGGTTGTTTTACCTCCACTTTGCCTGTCTTGGCAGCGAGCTGCAGAGGGTTCAATCCATCATAATTCACTATCTCCTCCAGTTTACACGCTGGGTCGAGCTTCACACCTGCCTTCAGGATCTCAACGTACGTTGTGCTCACAAACTTGGTGTTCTCCTCAGTGTCATCTGCAATCATCACCAGGGCATGCAGGACTGTGTTGCCCTGTGTGTCCTGCTCCTGAAGCCTGGCTTTCTGGTGGGGATTGTTTAGAAGATAGTCCACCACATCAAGCTGGTTGGTACAAGCAGCCAAGGAGAGGGGAAGTTCACCTGAAGAGATCAGGACACAGTATTTGGAGGGGAGGCAGAAAAAGGGGTAAAGGAGAATTAAATAAATAAATAAATAAAAAGCAATTATGGAAAACATATTTAGCCTAGAGTTTTATCACTGGAACACAGAACAAGTTCTTTCTCAGTGTCTCTGGATTCAGAAAGTGTTTGGCAGCAAACAATTACTCTTTATTTCTAGGAGTAGCTGAAACACTTTCCCAGACCTCTAATTTGGCTAACCTAACCAAGTGCTGGTCTCTATCTGAAGCCCCTTAGATGGGATTACATACATAAAACCAAAGATGATGTCAAATACTAATTGGACACCCCAGATGTGAAAGGATCCTGCCATTCAAGTAAGTCAAGGGCTTGATTAAAGGACACTGGAGATGGCAACTCATGCACAGATGGGCAAACCCAACTAGAATTAGAGATGTCACACATGGTATGGCAATAAAAAAAGGGAAGGAACATGTTCCACACTGACTCACCAAAATAAAAGTAAACTCCTTCTTTCTTCTTCCTGAAGAATTCCCCGTAGGCTCTGGCATGGACATCTGCTCCGTTCTCTACCAGCAGCTTCACTAAAGGCAGGCTCCTTTTCTCTATGGCAATGTGCAGGGCTGTCTGGCCTGAGCAAACAGCAGAACCTGTCACCCCCTGCCCCTCTCAGAGGGGACAGCACAGGGATTGAGCAAAAGCTGCATGTTCTGCACAGCCACTGCAGCCCCAGAGCTGGGGGCCGGCTCAGGACTTTCAACAACAGTCCTTGGAATGTTGCAGGCACTGAGGCAGAAGACAAGCCTCAAAACTATCTGAAATTCAGCACAAGACCAGGCAATCACTCCTGCCTGGCACTGAGATCCCAAGCATGAGAGGATTAAGACAACCATACATGTACATGACCATGCTGCACGTTCGCTACCGAAAGCACAACCCAAACAGCAGAACTCGTGTGTCAGAATGACACGTTATCCCTTCCTCGTTTTTAGGATTGCTTTTTATGCTTCCCCCAGCAAATCCTCTCATTTCTTGGGTTATTAAACGTGAACCATTTCTGCTTTACAGACCAAGACCGAAGTTGGCAGCAGGGTGTAATTCAGGGCCGAAGAAGATGCAGCAGCAGAATCAGAAAAGAAAAGGTGAGTAGGCTGTTACTGTAACTGCACCAGAACTCTGGATCTGCAGGGCTGAATAAGCTCCAGTTCCCCTCCATTCCCCTGTGCCTGCACATCCCACCTGCCTAACGGGGAAGCTGCTCTGGCCCAGCACCACCACTCAAACCTCACCTCTGTAGTAGCAGTCGGAGCACGACACATTGACAAGCGGCCTGGGGTTCTGTGTCTTTTGGTCTATTTCCAGCAAGACTGGGATTGTGTCATTCATTCCGTTTTTTAAGTTCAGCAGGGCTTTCATTAAGCAGGTTTTCCCAGTCTTTGCATCTGGCAGAGAGAGAGTATTGAATGGGTTGTGTGTGTACTTTGCACACAGCTGTATTATTTGATTCAGAACTCAAATCGCCAAAGGATCAAAGACAATCATTATTTTAAAGGTTTTTATCAGTAGTTTTAGCCTGCAGTAGAGGCAAAAACATTAGGATATATTTAATTAAGGGCATTCTCCACCCTCAGGTGAACATTAGAAAATAAAAGAATGGGCAGAAGGCCGGAGAAAGCAAATAACCATGAGCAGATTCCCCTGCTAAGCCTGTTCAGGAAATACTGAGCAGGAATCTACCTGTGTATTCGGAATCAGTGAGAAATTTGGAGGTCCTCCTTAAGTACCCCAGCAAACCATCCAGTGCCTCGGGGGTGCCCCTGGTGACGGCGCTGAACAGACGGTCCCTGTCAAAGCGATTTGGGTCCTTCTGGCTGTAGGGAAAAGTGCCAAGTGTTAGGAAGTTCTGGAGAGCAGAGACAGGAGCGTGCCACGAGTCCTAGTGGGACAGCGTAAGAAAGGAGGGAGGGAGGAAAGTTTGTCAGAAAAAAAAAAAAAACAACAACCAAACCCAAGCATTTTATTTTTGAGTCGAGGGAAAAATAGAGACTGTTATTTCCCAGAATTCTCTAAAGTGGCTGCTCTTTCCATCAGTTGGAGCTCTTCCCAGATCCCGTCTGATGTGCAACCCTGGCACGCATCCAGAGCTCAGAGAGAAGCCCAAGATAGCTGCAGGACCAGAGTCAGGCCCATCACATGGTGGAAGCGCTCTGTGAGCTGGTTTACATCCCTCCCTGGCACGAACAGCTCAGCTGGACAGAGCTCCACGAGAAGCTGCTCTGACACCCAACGTGGCTTATTAGTGTTAGCTGAGATCCACCCAAAATACACCCCAACAGGTGTGCACCTTCCAGGGGCAGCAGCAGAGGCCTAACAGGTCTCCTTTCTGCTTTAATGCCCTCCCACCAGATGCCTGTAATATCCCTACACTGCCACTTTCAGTCTGGACTTGGTGAAGTCTGTAGGCCCCCATACAGGGCAGGATCAGCACAGATCACCCGAATCACCCCCTGCCAACACCCAACAGTCACTCACTTGCTGACGAGTCCTGGCCGATAATTCAGGTTAACCTTGATTTTAGGAGCAAATTCACTGCTCTCCTTCTGGTAAGGTGTCTCCAGGGGTCGTGGCTCTCCTTTCTTTCCAGGCCCTGATCTTTCTTCCTTTCTACTGGGTGCAGGTTTATCCTCCTGGACGCTGTCATCGGTTTCCAGCAACCCAGTGAACCTGTTCCTCTGGCCTGGGCCTGGCTGCCCGTTGGTGAAGTTGTCCATTCCTAGGAGAGATGGTCTTGCAGGTCAACAAAGATGTTCCCTGCTGGGGGACTAAACCTGTGAGGGAGGGGGAGAGTTACCAGTTTGATCACAAACCCAGGATGTGCTCAGTGTGACACAGTTCCCAGTGCTCTGCAGTTGACTTTGGGTCCCTTTCAAGAGGGAGATTCAGTAAAACTCAGTGCAGTAGCAGTATTTGAATAAAGGAGCAGTATTTGAACAAAGGAGCAGGGTCTTGAACAGAGTTCCACTGGAGAAGTTCAAAGGCAGTTCATGAAATACAAGCTGCAAACTCGTCTGCAGCACATCTGAACCCCCTTTGTGAGATGACCTCACCTGTTGGCAGCAGCACAGGTTCCTTACATAAAAGGCAAGGAAAGTGGCTCTTTAGGAGACCATGATCACTGTTCTTGTCTCGGGGCAACCGACACAGCCTGGTCACCGAGTGGCCCAAATGATAAGATTCACTGTAGGCCTTCTTTGGAACAGGGATAGGTCTGTTCATGTCCCCTGTGGGGGAGCACTGCACTATTTATACAGGGCAAACACGTGCACAAATTGTGTTCCCCTCACGCATTTCATCCTGGGGCAAAATGAGTGGGGTCATAGATATTAGATATTAGATAGTTATTAGATATTTGGAGCTGTTGGCTCTCCATGAGAGCACAGGCTCTCAAGTCCCAGCTCCACAGCACAGACAAACACACTGCCCAGCTGCCCTGGGGACACTCCCAGCCCTGGGAGCCTGCACAGAGCACAGCTTGACCCAAACCTGCTGCACAGGGAGCAGCAGTCTCAGCAGAGCACCCAGCCAGCCCCTTCTCTCATCTAATACATCCTGAACCCCTTTCTGACTCTTTTCAGACATCTCTTCTTATATATCTGAATATATCCCAGACCACACCCAACACACACTGTCTGAAGTCAGCATGACTGCAGATTCACACTGTTTGTAATTAAACATCCACAATTACCAACCTGCAGCAGAGTTTTTGTTAATAAGTCTGTCTCCTTCCCGTGCACTCCCTCCAAATGGTTAACAGGTTTTCTCTGAGGAGAAATCTCCCTTGCTGGGACTACAGCCAGACTCCATAGCCTGTACCAGCAAAGAGGTAAATGGACACAGCATAAGCAATTTGGCTTAGATTAGGGTGTGAAAAAACACAGTTCTTAGGCAGAAAACAGCCACAAAGCATCTGCATGCGGCTCACAGCAAGAAATCCAAGGGTTGATTTCAAGACAAACCGTTATGATAATTCAGACGTTCAGTTTAGTCTGCTCTCTAATGACAAACATTCCTCTGCACTCACAGGCAAACACCCCAGAATGCTGTTTCAGAGTTACTTCCTTCCCCAGAACACTTACTGGTACCTTTGCCGATCCTTCAGAGGGCTATTCGTACTCCCACAGTAGTTTGCTTGTGCTTTGCTGTCTTCCTTTCCCCCAAATCATTTCTCAGCTGCGGTTCCCATCTCTCCACAGCGCTCAGGAGAGTTATTTACTGTCAGGCTTGTACAGACAGACCGTCTGGTTTAAAAGCAAGAGCAAAATGGTCCTATAAAAAGGACCCTACACCCACTTGGTGCATCCCTGGGAAACACAGGGAGCACTCTCTGCTTGCAAGCTCAACTCCCACTTCTCCCCTCAAGAACTGAGTTATTTATTTCTTTCCGACACCCCACCAAGCCCTTTTGAGAAGGGCAGCACCAAGCCCTGCTGTCAGAACAGGAAGAGCACAGCACTTACCCCAAACTGTTGCAAGCTCCACCCAAGAACAGATCTGACAAGGAGTCCAACAGAGCCTTCAGAGGGTAAATAATCTCTCAGCAGAGACCAAGTCCAATACCAACAAGTGTTAATAAGCATGAAAGCAGACCCAAAATTGTTTACATCCATGGGTGAGAGTCCTCCTCTTCTGCAGAGCAGACCATGCTCACATCAGCAGTCTGCTAATGGCACAGCCTTGAACTCCTGGTTGGTGGCGGCCCATGAGAGAATCCAAGGAATAACCACAGAGTCCTGCTATTTACTCAACTGTATGGCTTTTTGCAAAGTGAAGGAGGGCTTGCACAGGAAATGACTAGATGGATTTCTCAGTAAAAGAGAGAGCCAATGAGTGCAGTGCTCTTATATGGGAAAGCTGCCTGGCTATTGCAAATTCAGAATGCTTAACCCCTGCCTGCACACGGAGAGCCACCGCCTCGTGGCTCCCAAGCACAGCCCTCTCACAGCTCAGGGGATGAGGTGGATTTGCCCCTGACAGTGCCAGAGCCCCTGGTGCAGCTGTGAGGTTTGTCACAGGGTCCCTCACTCAGCCCCAGGACAAGCCAAGAGTGCATGGAAACAGCTGATCAGCTCAACTGTTCCTGTGGGGAGCCAGATCTCCTCACCCAACCTCCCACCCCCCAGTTACGAGGCGGCATAAACTGTGTGAGTAAATAAGGGGACCAGAATGTGACCCCACACAATCAGCTGCTCATCACGAGCACAGGGAACTGCACAAAGCAGCCCCAGTTCAGAAACACTCAGGCCGCTGGTTACTTAATTTGCCTCTAGTGCCACATTTCTTAATGGGCTGGTTCTCCAGAGGAGTGCAAATCTGAGAGAGGCTTCTCCTGGGAGCACGGACTGTCCTTGGGGCCCCAATACTGCTTCACTTACCACTCACAAAACAAGACCCCTGGGAGACAGAGGACATCAACCTACACCACTTGGTTTAGTTCCTTCTCTCTCTCCCTCTCTGAACAGCCCCGAGCAGGCAGCAAGATCGTTTCCCACAGCACCAGCACGGGATGACACCCAGCACCCGCTGCCTCAACAGCCTTCCCACAGGATGCTGCTGCAAGCATTCTCACCTGCACTCTTGATGCTTTGCAAAGCCATTTATGAGGTCTAGAGCTCAACTAGAGAATCTTATTAACCAGCAAAATGGTAAAAAAGCTCTTCTAACCCACACCTCGACAGCAGGGGCGTGTCCCAGGGGAAATGCCAAGAGTTCGCTTAACCACTGGTCCTAAAACGTTGAGAAGGGCTGTCACATCATGACACACTGAACTCTGGCTGTGGCTTCCTCCTTCCAGACCTACCACGAGCCAAATGAGAGCCCAAAGCAATCCCCATCCCACAGGACTGCAGGATGCTGTGACGCTTCCTGGAATGTGGTCGTCACCCACAGAAACATTCCCAGATGGCTTCGACTTTGAGTCAGATGCAGCCTGTGAGATGACCTTCCTATAAATACACCCATTAAATGGCAGGGTGCCTTTCCCTCCTCATGGTCTTGCAGGAGATGACAAGCTTATTTCTCAGATTCCCGTGTTTCAAAATGAAGCTGGTCCAGCAACAACACAAAGCTGCTGCTGCTTTCCATGATGGCTTCTTAATGACTCATTAAGACCCACAAAGAGATAAATGCAAGGCAAGATCTCATCTCTCTCATCCCTTTCTCATTCCAGCCTTGCACCGATTCAGCTCAGTTTGCTTTAGTTGTGTTACATCTAATTTACTGTGATATCAGCAGAGGTTCAGGCTCAGGAGTTTAGCTCAGACTAATGGGTTTAAATCCTCCTGGGCTTCTCCCCCAGCTCTCGTTGGAGGCATCCCACCACTGCAGCCAAGGAATGAAATCAGCCCACAAAAGTGCATCACAGCAGAGTTCTCTCTGCACATCTGCTTTTAATAGAGGAAGGAGAATGTGCAACTTGCTGGGAAAGGAATTGCTGCCAGCTGAGAGGTCACCCCAGCCAGGCAGATCCACGGAGCTGCTGGGGAGCTCAGGAACACTGGGATGGGCACACAGAGGAAACACTTGGCACTTCCATTTGAGAGAAGGGAGAAGCAAAGCAGAAAGAAATCACAAAATCTGCCCAAACGTGTCCTCAGCAGTGACACATCCAAGGTCGGTGACGGGCTTGTGTCGCTGCTGAGCTGGTGATGAGGCTCAACAAGCATCCTGCCACCAAAATCTGAAATCCTGAGAGCTGTGAGGACTCAGGAGGAAGCCATCTAGAGCAGCATGCAGGGTGAATAAAAGCAGCAATCTCATTTCACCTGTCTGCCAGCCTGAATTTTACTAAAGCAGAACGTGATCCTCTGGCTTTTTCAGGCTTTTATGTGTGGGAGGAAGAAGGAATCCCACAAGGAATCAGTACTTATTTTACTGATGAAAATGTGCCTGTTGGTGCTGAGTTTCTCCTGACAGGAGAGACATGTTCTGTGGAAACCTTCAATCTGAGAAGAGAGAAGTCGAACTCCTAAGTGAAATTTTAAGTAAATGCATTATTTTTCATTTAATAGTATTATCAGTCATATTCATAATTATGGATTATACGTGAGGAAGCACAGTAATTCATGGCAGGAAAAGCAATGACTGGAACCTGCTTAAACAGAGGGCAAAAGGAAGCATGAGGAACATGGTGTTCCTTATGGAAACCGGCACATTTTCTAAAATGTATATTCTCTGTTCACCTAAGCTCCCATTTTGACCAAATACTGGAAAACATAACAGTCTTATGGTTAATACCATGTTCTCTGCAGGCTGTAAATAGAAGTTTAAAGTCACTTACATACGTGTGTAATTTAGTCCCAGGATTGATCTCTGGCCACTCTCAGGTGTAGCAGCTCAAAATCATCCTCACGGGGGAGGAAACCCTGTAATAACAACAGGCAAGGGTGGAGCATTCAAATTTTCTTAAAAACAATAGGTAGGGCAGCAAAAGCCACGTGGTTAAGGAACAACTGTTTCTTTTAAAGGTGTGCTTTCACACTCGGGAAAATGTCAAGCGTTTTTGCAAGGCCTGACCGTTTTTTTCCATGCAATTGTTATGTAAAACCCACACTGCAGTGATGAACTTTAAGCAGTTTAATTTGTTAAGTTACCCAGATGGAATCCTGTACCTCTGGGGACACCAGCCAGTGCCCAATCTAAAATATAAATATTCTCAAACATAATCCCTTCTCAGGACTTGTCTGATAGCCAAGGGGGTTCAATTCATCTACGTGACAGTATTTCTGTAACCGCCAGTCCCACGTCATAACATCTAGAGGCTCCAATCTATACACTCCTCGGGCCTCTGAAGGAACATTCCGGCTCTCTTATTCCTAAAATGGAAGTATCTTTCTGCTTGATGTATCCCTTTCTGTAGGATCACAGCCTGTCGGAATGCTCTGCTGACAATCAAATCGCAGCAGAAGAGGAAATCCAGCGGTGAGGTGGGAAAGGAACCTGTTTGTGGAGGAACAGTGACATCCGGTGGCCACCGAGCAAACCTGAATTCCTGCTGCTTTCGAAACAGCCTCCATGGGAAATAGCCAAAAAAAAGCCAAAAAAAAAAAGAGGGAAGAAGTAGTTTTAGGCATGCACCTGCGAGAATTAGAGCTATTCACTTAATATTTGTATCAAAATAGTTAGCAGAAACTTGTCTAATTTAAAAACTTATATTCCACATAAGGCTGTTTTGGATGATATAGCAATATTCCACACCCATAAAATTGATATGGGCAGCCAAGGATCTTTGAACACAGCCTTTCGTATTGTGGACAAGGCTGCAGAAATACTGAGGAATTTATTCCCAAGGCTTATCTGCCTTAACCCTCTCTTGCCCTGTATGGGCCAGTCGCTAACAGAGCAAAACACCAAATATATCCAAAACCCAGTATAATGGATTGTCTTTTTATGGATATGGGTAATTAGTTTAAAGCATAGAAGGCAAAAAAGTCTTGGCTAAGGGGGCTTTTGCTGTTTGTTTGATTTGAGGGGTTTTGTTGATGTTTAGTTTTTGTTTGGGTTTTTGTTTGTTTGTTTGGGGTTTTTTTGAGTGAGGGCAGACTAGAAATTAACTGAAGCAATAAGAAAAAACCCAAAGGCCAGTCATAAAGCTCAGCTTGCAGCAGGATTACAAGATAATGTCAGAATCTGCTGTCAATCTGTGGGAGCATTAGGATCGTTCTCATACCTGGACATGCTCCAGGGTCACCTGCTCCAGGTGGGGGGTTGGACTGGGTGATCGCCAGAGGTTCCACCCAATCCTAACATTTCTGTGATTCTGTGATATAGATTCTGGCTAAAACCTATTAAATTCTTATTTTAGTTATGAATAGTTGTCTCTAAGGAGATTTTTGAGGTACCACCACACTGTAATAATAAAGAAAATGTATCTTAACATCATTCATATATTGCCTGATCTCTTACTTCATCTTTTGTTAATAACCTCAGTGTAATCAGTGCATGTTATGCAAATTCATATTCACATTTCCTTGTAACTTCTACAAAACTTGAGAAGGACCTTTAGGAGCCAGAGAACATAAAGCAGCCAGTTTTACCATGGAGCAAATCAGCAGCAGGAAAAGATAAGGAATGTAAATTTATTTAGTGGTGAAATCTCCTCTGGACTGCTCAGGGACTGTGTAACATCGAGCAGGGCTCTGGACACCCTGCTGGAATGAGTCAGGAACAGCTGGTGCTGGAAGGGACATCTGGAGGTCACCTTGTCCAGCCCCCTTCTCAACCAGGACCACGGTAAATTGGTTGCCCAGAACTATTCCTACAGGTTTTGCCCGTGACTTTTTAGTGTCTCACAGGAAGGTGCCTGTGGGCAACAGACCCAGGTGGCTCAACTGCACAAAGCATCAAATCAAAGGTAAAACTGCAGGAAAACTTAAACTAAAGGTCTCTCTTGTGGCAGTGACAAGTGTTGACAGAACTTTATACTTCTGCTAGCACAGCTACGTGCAGCACACAGGGAAGCAAACCTCGATAAAAACCCAAATATCCTATCAGGGCTGTAACCATCAAACCCACACTGAACTCACTGCCATGTGCACTTTTCTATGAAGACAGTAACTGCTTGGCCCAGCTTTGTGTTAAGTGCAACACTTACCACATTCAGTGAAGTGACACCAAAAGCCGAAATCTGAGAGGAACAGACTTTCCCAGCAGCACTACAGTGGGCAAAAAAAAGTTGACCAAGTTATCAGGGAAAAGGGGAGCAGCACAGAATCACTGTGCACTCAGCAGATGAGGCCAAGGCTCCCTCTTCAAGATAAGCAGCTGACAAAACTTAGCAGGTGAAGACACCGGTAGGAACCATCCTTCCAACCTGGGGAGCTTCTGGGGAAGGGCACATGGATAATTTCATCCACCTTTTAAGACCCCACTGAACTAAAGCAGCCCCACTGCACCTTTTTGGGTGCTAACTCAGCGCCCCAAAAAATAAATCAAACCTCCCTCCCCATCCCAACACCACCAACAAGGAGACAACCCAGATTTTAGTGGAACTCCCTCCCTTCCACCACTAAATGGTTGTGTAGGACTTTTACTTAAATCAGGCACTTGTTACACTGTTCAGTCAATTTATATTTAAAAAGAAGTTTCAATAGGGCCAGAGAAGGGCACCTTCCCACCCACCACTGGGCAACTCCCAGTGCCAGCAATTCCCCCCACACCACCACCCTTCCCACCCACCTCTCAGGACTAGCTGAGACAAACACGCCACAAGTTTACAACTTGGAGCAAAACTCACCCCAATGGAATGACCAGCACACTCCTTTATTTTGTGGCTTTTGGGGGTCTTTAAAGAACTTATCCCCCCCCCCCCAAAAAAAAAAAACCATTAAACTCTATGAATAAGAAACAACATGGTATTAGCACTTAATTTAAGATTTTAATCCAGATCCATTTTAACCACAAGGTTGGTCCTCATTACACATGCAGAGAAGCTTAAACTGCCATGGAAGGAAGCCAAAGCACTTAATACACCAGTTTTACTTGCTTAAACTGAGACAGACTACAGGTTTTAATGTGCAACAGAAAACTTTATTAGCATTTCAACAGACAGTTGTTCAGCAGTTACTCAAGCTTGCATTAACCTTGCATTAACTTAATATTAAGACATTAAAGGAACTACAGTGCAAACACAAGTGCCACTGGCAATCCTGTTGTCAAGCAAGATGCACAACAACTTAACAGCCCCCCCTGAGGCGCAGCACGAGGTGGAGGGTGGATTCCTTCTGGATGTTGTAGTCGGACAGGGTGCGACCATCCTCCAGCTGCTTGCCAGCAAAGATCAGCCTCTGCTGGTCTGGGGGAATGCCCTCCTTGTCCTGGATCTTGGCCTTGACATTCTCGATGGTATCACTGGGCTCAACTTCCAGGGTGATGGTCTTACCGGTCAGGGTCTTCACAAAGATCTGCATCCCACCTCTGAGGCGCAGCACAAGGTGGAGGGTGGATTCTTTCTGGATGTTGTAGTCAGAGAGAGTGCGACCATCTTCCAGCTGCTTGCCAGCGAAAATCAGCCTCTGCTGATCAGGAGGAATGCCCTCCTTGTCCTGGATCTTGGCCTTGACGTTCTCAATGGTGTCACTGGGCTCCACCTCAAGAGTGATGGTCTTACCGGTCAGGGTCTTCACAAAGATCTGCATCCCACCTCTGAGGCGCAGCACAAGATGGAGGGTGGATTCTTTCTGGATGTTGTAGTCGGACAGGGTGCGACCATCTTCCAGTTGCTTCCCGGCAAAGATCAGCCTCTGCTGGTCTGGGGGAATGCCCTCCTTGTCCTGGATCTTGGCCTTCACATTCTCGATGGTGTCACTGGGCTCAACTTCCAGGGTGATGGTCTTGCCAGTCAGGGTCTTCACGAAAATCTGCATCCCACCCCTGAGGCGCAGGACAAGGTGGAGGGTGGATTCTTTCTGGATGTTGTAGTCAGAGAGAGTGCGACCATCTTCCAGCTGCTTCCCGGCAAAGATCAGCCTCTGCTGATCAGGAGGAATGCCCTCCTTGTCCTGGATCTTGGCCTTGACATTTTCGATGGTGTCACTGGGCTCCACCTCAAGAGTGATAGTCTTGCCAGTCAGGGTCTTCACAAAGATCTGCATCCCACCTCTCAGACGCAGGACAAGATGCAGAGTTGACTCCTTCTGGATGTTGTAGTCGGACAGGGTGCGACCATCCTCCAGCTGCTTGCCAGCAAAGATCAGCCTCTGCTGGTCTGGGGGAATGCCTTCCTTGTCCTGGATCTTGGCCTTCACATTCTCGATGGTATCACTGGGTTCAACCTCAAGGGTGATGGTCTTGCCCGTCAGGGTCTTCACAAAGATCTGCATCCCACCCCTGAGGCGCAGCACAAGGTGGAGGGTGGATTCTTTCTGGATGTTGTAGTCGGACAGGGTGCGACCATCTTCCAGCTGCTTGCCAGCGAAAATCAGCCTCTGCTGATCAGGAGGAATGCCCTCCTTGTCCTGGATCTTGGCCTTGACATTTTCAATGGTGTCACTGGGCTCAACCTCAAGAGTGATGGTCTTGCCAGTCAGGGTCTTCACAAAGATCTGCATGTTGACCTGCAAGACATACAGGTATTTCAGCTACAGCTATTTCAGTAAAGCCTCTAGTAAATACTAAATAAAGGGATTAATGTTGCTGTTTGGCACTAGGTAAAGACCAATTAGAACTTTTATTTTTTAAAATACTGTATTTTTACCAGTTTTCTATAACTTGAGTAACTAACCCTCTTTTTGAAGCACAGCCCGCTGTGTAACAGATTCTTTACACTATCTTTTACCAGAGTCCCCTTTCACCCAGACAGCCTCCTCTACACCCCCACAGCGCAGCACCGGGGCCCCCAGAGCCCTTTCCGATCCCCGCCCCACTGGGCAGCACTGGGGCCCCCAGACCCTCCCGCAGGGCAGCACTGCGGCACCTCAGCACCAAACCCCCGCGCACCGGAGCCCCCAGAATCCCCCTCACACACCCCCTTCCCAAAGCAGCCCCGCGGCACCGGAGGCCCCGGACTCCCCCCGGGCCCCGCCCTGGGGCGGGGAGGCCGCTCCCCCGCCCCGGCCGTGACTCACACCCGCCTTCCGGGCGAGGCGGCTCAGCCTCAGCCCCCGCCATCTTCACCACAGCGACACCG